ATGTTATGTGTGTTCTGACTATTCCACCAACCAGCTGTTCCCCACCTCTCTCCCTCTCCTCAGGCCTCCTGTTCCCTGAGATACAACAATATTGAAATCAGCCAATTAATAATCCTACAATGGCTTCTAAGTGTTCAAGTGAAAGGAAGAGTCCATTCTCCTAAATCAAAAGCTAGAAATGATTAAACTTAGTGTGGAAGGCACAGCAAAAAGCTGAGATAGAGTAAAATCTAGGCCTCTTGCGCCAGCCAAGTTGTGAATGCAAAGGAAAAGTTCTTGGAGGAAATTTAAGTGCTACTCCAGTGAGCACACAGATGATAAGAAAGCAAAACAGCCTTATTGCTGATATGGAGAAAGTTTGATTGGTTTGGATAGAAGTTCAAACCAGCTTTAACATTCATTCTTTTAAGCCAAAGCCTAATTCAGAACAAAGCCCTCAACATTGAGGTACGACCCTCCACCAGCAAAAAGATTATGACCCACTGAAGACTCAATTGATCATTACCAGTTTTTAGTAGTAAAGTTTTTGTTTTGTTTTGTTTTGTTTTTTTTGAGACAGTGTCTCACCCAGGCTAGAGTGCAGTGGTGTCCTTATAGCTCACTGCAACCTTTAAATCCCTGGGCTCACGGATCCTCTTGCATCAGCCTCCTGAGTAGCTGGGACTACACGTGTGCCACCTCACCTGGCTAATTTTTCTATTTTTTTGTAGAGAGGGAGTCTTGCTCTTGCTCAGTCTGGTCTTGAACTCCTGGCCACTTCGAGCAGTTCTCCCACCTCGACCTCCCAAAGTGCTAGGGTTATAGGTGTGAGCCACCACACCCATCCTAAAGTAGTTTTTAATTAATGTATGCACATTGGTTTTTTCAGACACAATGTTATTGCATACTTAATAGACTATAGTGTATACATAACTTTTATGTGTACTGGGAAATCAACAAATTCCTATGACTTGCTTCATTATGATCTGGAACCAAACCCACAGTATCTCGGAGGTATGCCTTTATTTGAGCTTAGATCCCTAGCTTGGAGAGGGAAAGGAATGAGTAAGTGAAGGAGGAGGGAGCCAGCTTTGCATGGGGCACCATCTGAATGTTGAGCATTTGTCTGAAAGTCTAGCAGTCTGTTTTATAGCAGGATGGTATGTAAGTTGTTTTGTGGCATTCTCTGTCATTCATTCATTCAACAAATATTTATTGAGAAACTTTAAGTATCAGGAAAGCACTGGTTTAGTCCTGGGAATACAGCAGTGACTAAACAAGTAGATGAAGCATTTCTGAGCTTCTAGAACTTATATCCTAGCTAGGGAGATAGTTATTAAACAAATATGTAAAAATATATGTTATTATATCACATGGTTCTTGAGTACTCTGGAGAAAAGACGAAGGATGATAGGGAGCTGGGAGTGTTTGAAATTTAAATAGGCTAATTTGGGGGAAGTCACTGAGAAGCTGACATTTGAGCAGTGACCTCTAGGTGAGAAGGTGAGCCATCTGGATATAGGGGGGCTGGGAGAGGTATGTTTAAGCCGAGGGAACAGCTTAAACAGTGTCCCTGAGGCAATAGCATGCCTTGTTGATTTCAGGAACTGCAAGATCAGAATGGTTGAGCAGAGTGAAGAAGAACCAGGGAGTGTGAGGATGGATTGAGAGGCAATGGGAGGGGGGCAGACTACGAAAAGTCTTACAGGTTCTTGTGAGGATTTTAGGTTTTAAGTACATGGGAACCCCCTGGAGGCTTTTCAGAGGAATGACATATTCTGACTTCCCCTTCATAGGATTCTTCTGGCTTTTGTATTGAGAACAGACTTTAGTGCGTAAGAGCAGAAGCTAGGAGGTCACTTAGATTTTTAACACATTGACTGGCACACTAGAAAAAAAATTTTTTTCCCTGGGGCCATGGTCTTTTATTACAAAGATAGAGTAAAAACTTAGAAAGCAAAATGATCCTTTCCAATTTAATGAAAAATTTAATGAAAATTATTTTTTTATTGTTTTCTGTGGTTTTGCCCAGGTGGCAACCCATCATGTAACATGTATGCTGCAGCACAGCAGCATGAGTGGCCTGCACACCACCTGGCTCCCAAGGTAAAGGGATGTGTGAGTTGCCTATGCTTTATGGGCTCCGGGCTCAAAACTAGCGTAAGTTAAATACAACTCACATGGCAGTTAATGTGTTAAAGTAACGCAGGCGAGGTGTGCTCTTGGCTTGGACCAGGATTGTGGTGGATGTATTTTGAAGGTGGAACTGACAGGATTTGCTGAGTACTTGGGCTTGAAAGAAAGCAGTGATTCTTATTGAGGAGGAATCCAAAATTTTTCCGCTAAGCAAGTGGAAGGAAGGAGTTGCATTTACTCAGCTGGGGAAGACTGGGGAGGAGCAGGGGAGGGGCAGAGTGTTGGGAGCTCAGTTGTAGACAAGCTAAGTTTGGGATGCATATTAAACATCCGAGGAAGATGGTGATGAAACGTTTGGGTCCATAAGTGTGGAGTTTAAGAGATGTTGTCTATATATAGTACTATGGTCTGATTATATGTGTCCACCCCCCAAAAGTCATATGTTCAAACCTAACCCCCCAAATGATGGTATTAAGTGGTGGGGATTTTAGGAGGTGATTAGGTCATGAGGGCTCTTGCATCATGAGTGGGATGGATTAGTGCTCTCATGAAATAGACTTGAGGGAGCCACTTTGCTCTTCTTCCACGTGAGGATGCAGCAAGGCTCCATCTGTGAAGCAGAGAGCATCCCTCACCAGACACCAAATCTGCTGGAGCCTTGCTCTTAGATTTTCTAGACTCCAGAACCGTGGGCAATAAGTTTCTGTTGTTTATAAGTTACCCAGCCTAAGGTATTTTGTTATAGCAGCCCCAACAGACCAAGAAAAGTGACATTTCTATTGGACTGGATGAGATCACCAAGGTATGAGTACAGATGGAGAAGAGATCCAAGGGCTGAGCTGGGGGCCTTCCAGCACTTGGAGGTTTGGGGACTAGGAGGCTCTGGTGAAGGACTCTGAACAGGAGCTGTTGGCAGGGAGGGTAGGAGGAAAACCAGGGTGGGGTCACCCTGGGCAACGAGAGGGTCATTGGCTGAGAGTGAGGATGGGGGTGGGGAGTGGAGGTCTGAGGAGCAGGGAGGGAGGTGTAGGATCATCTTCTAGGGGAGTGAAGGGGGAGAGGCTTGGGGGATGTAGTTGGATTGCCGGTGGCACCGAGGGTCATCTCCAGGTTAGTGGAGCTGAATCAGAGTGCAGCCAGCCAGCCTGGACATGTGTTCGATCTCATGCTTGTTCAGCTGCAAAGAGACAGGTGTGGAACTGATTGGAACTTAGAATAACCAGTGTTGGAGTTTTGCAGGTAGGTGCCAGCACGATGATGAGGGCAGCCAAGGGAGTTGAAGGTGCATATTTGAGTGGTGAAAGCAAAACGTTGGCTTTGACTTTTGATAATCTCTGTGTTTCTCTTTTTGGCCCCATTCAGTCTCTTTATAATTTAGAATTGTTGTAATTTTTTTCACTTAAGATTGTTCTGCCAAGTGCAATTTTAATTAAGAGCACTCTTTCCAGTGAGCTTGCATAGGTATCGTGTTTGTTTGTTTCTGTCTCCCGTTGATAAGCTCGTATAAAAGTGCTGCAGAACTAGCTGTTTCAGTGGGGAAATCTCCAGCCTCTGGTGGTGGGAGAAGCAGCCCAGCAGCTCTCTAAGTCCACCAATCCTTCCTTCCCCTACCGCTAGCACCTAGTATTTGAATGATTTTTCCTACTTTAATATTGCCTTTGGCTGTTCATCTCTCCTGACTTCCTAATAAACTTCTGAGGGCAGTACGTAGCTTCCGTTGTGTATACACTTAAATAATTGGCTCTCAGGCTCGAAATGATACCCATTTTGTTCCCACTTGCCTCTGTGGTGAAGGATGGGCTGGCGGAAAGCTGACTGTTGGTGGAAGTGCTGTTTGCAATGCTCTCGTTCTCTGTATGGGAACCTTCCGGGCCGCTGCTTCCCAGTGTGCAGCTTAGTGTTGGGTTCTGCCATCCTGTCCTATCACGAGATCCAGGACTCCTCTGCCCATCTTGGGAGTGCTAGCCCAGGGTGTTTCTGGGAAGCCCCGCCCAGTGTGAGCCTTTAGCCAGGTTGAGCAGGTAGTCTTTGTGAGTGCTGAAATATTTTAACCAGATGTCCCTCCTCCAAATAGGGTCCTTTGTCCTGGAGGCTCATGGAAACATGAGCTGCCCATCTGCCTTTGGGCCCAGGCTTCTCAGGTTGCAAGAGGATTGTTAGACACCAAGGAGATTTTTATTTTTATAGAGAAAAGATCCACAAAGACTGAGAAGGTGACGAGGAAGTAAACAAGGTGAATTTTTTTTTCTGGAAAATAGCTGGTGACCTGTGCACATGTGGAAGGCAGAATAATTTAGTGCGAGGAGACCCTTGAAGACTGTGTGAGAGACTAATGGAGTTCACTCTTGCATTGTGATAAGGAGGATAAAAAAAGCACCGTTAAATTCTAGATAGAAAACACATTCTGATCTGTATGTAGTTCAACCCATTTATTTGAATAAACTTACTTAAATATAGTTAAATATACTTATTAAAATTTAAGCATGTAAATATTTAACGTCTGCTATCCATCACTGTATTAGGTCTGAGGCAGCTAAAACGTAAGGTCCTTGTGTTCCAGGGCTTATTGTGCTTCCCAGAGTGGGCACATGCTAGACAGCGGTAATAAGCACGAGCTGATCTGATTGCAGCCTCAGTGGACAGAGAAGATTTGTCCTCCAGGAGTGATAAAGGCCGAGTGCCTGCCAGCACAGGTGGTGGTGGAGTTAGTGCTGTTGAAATTCAGATAAGGGAGGGAGCCCTGCCGCCAGGGAGGCTGCCAGCGACTCTTGGAGAGGCAGGACTTAAAGGATAAGGAGGATTAGACAGGGGTGGGGGGAACCTGGGGGTCAAGCGTGAGGAAAGGGGAAGGTGCCAGAAAGAGGAATTTGGACCTAATTCTCTAGCCTGGGAAAGTGGCTCAGCCTAGGTTGTTCCACAGGACCCTTAGCTTCTATGGGAACAGAGGAAAAGCCACTGTTTTCACCCTAGACTTGCTTTCTTCCAACCGTTTCTTCTCATGTTGGCTGACATTACCCAATCTGCCAAACTAGAAATGGCATCGTCATGCTCAGATCCTCTCTTTGTGTCACCTCCTGTGATCCACTGATTACTGAGCCAGACGGTATATTTAATCCTGCTCTACTATTAATTTTCCCTGCCCCTTATAATCCCCACTCCTCTCAGTCTCATTCCCACCCAAACTGTACTTCCAGATCACAAGTAGAAATTCTGCAGTTTCTCTGCTCTAACACTCCTGGTGACTCTGCACCATCCATGCACAGGACCAAGTCTAGACTTCCTGCCCTTCTGGACCTGGCCCCAGCCCCTTTTTCTGGCTCTGTTCTGGGCCTGACCCATCTAGGAGACGTGGTTTGGATGGTAGAGTATTCAAATTTCCCACAGTTCATGGCTGTTCAAAAACATTGGGGACATCAGTTCCCAACATACTTTCCTTATTAGCCATTCATAGCCACAGTACAGAAGAAGCTTCTATGTTTATAATCTCATATCATCAAGGAAAAGTTAAAATATGTTTAATAACTCATATTTTAAAAGGCAGCATAAAGATAGATGCCAGATTTGGGGAGGATTTTTACCCAAAATAGCTGAAATTTTTTAAGAATCTAGTGCTTAAAGAGATAAGTTTCAGTTACCTGGAGAACCCACTTAGGAAGTCCAGTAAATGAAATGTGGTCAGCAGGGCACATGGAGATCCTGTTAGATCCTGTCAGCAAGAGAGAGCCGCAGATAAGCAAGCAGGACTGGAGTAAACATGAGGAAGCGATGGCAGGTACTCCAGATGGCAGATACTCCAGACTCATCTACACCAGCTCCAGAGGCAGGTGCACGGCCCGGGGCGGTGCTGGGCTCAGGCAGGGAGGCTGGGGATCAGGCCCCAAGGCCCTTAGCAGAAAATATGCCTTTCTGGTTTGAATGGCATTTCTGGGACATTGAGGCAGATTTTTTTTTTTTTTTTTGGCTGAGCACTTGGAAGGTAAGCAAACACAAACACATTTTGGAGGAGTCAATTGCCCCTCATGAGTGTGCTTTAGTAGCGCAAGCGAGCAAGTGCTCCAATCCCCATGGAGTAAGATCAGAAGCTGCAGAATAGCAAAGGTGCAAAGGACCTTTGGTGAATGGACCAGTAGTGAGGCCACCTTCCCTCAAATAGAACAGATCTCTTGGTCAGGAGACAGTGATGGCAGTTTTAATGGGGGAGGAAGGGTCATTGTGGGCAACCCATAAGGAGGCAGAATCCTCAGTGACCATGGAACCATTTTACCAACCAACCCAGTTCAGTCTGCAGTGTGGACATTCCATATACATTTGTAGCAGAGGTGTGGCCAGGATTAGCGCAGGCAGACCTGTTCCTCCCATGGGGGCTGAGGTCTCCTCTTTCCTGACTCTGAGCCAGTGGGGTGAGGTGGAGTGGGGGGTAGGAAGGAAGTCAGTGCTGCCCGACAGAGCAGGCGGCTGCCTGGATTACCATGTTGTCGTGTGTCTCCTCCTATTAATCCTCATTGGAACAGCAGGTAGCCTGAGAAGCCTGAATCGTGTATTAGTCCCCCGCTGTTGTGCCACGTATAAAAAACAGATGAGCTTTGTTAGCCAGTGAGTTTGTGCAGTCAGTTCTTACTGAAGTCAAGCTTTTGGTCCAAGGGAAAACAAAGCTTCGAGATACATGGAACTTTCTTATACCTTCTTGAAAATGCAAGTCATGTTGCCCGGGGAATACTTCTCTCACCAAGTGTTCTGCACCCTGCCAACCTTGGAGCTATGGAAGAGGCAGCTGAAGTTATTCCAAGAAAATACTGGCAGTTTGGTAATAAAAGGAAATATCGTATCTCCCCTACCTCTAGGCTGGGTTTCTAAGAGTGCACATGGTCAGAAGGAAACTGCGCTTAACTTTGGGAAATGATTACTTGCTGGGCTTCTGGACACACCGGCCGGGTGTCCAGGCAGTGCTGGGTGAGAGTGAGCTCGGGCCGTGTGCAAAGACCCACAGTGCTGCCTGCGGTGTGATGAGCGAGAGGGTGCCAGCTGGTGGGACGGGTGTAGATAAACAGAAGCAAGTAGGTGTGGTGGCGTGCAGCCTGTCCAAGTTGCTGAAGCTTGCTGCCAAATGAAGACTGCCGGCATCCTCTCCTGGGCCGGCTCAGGAGCGGAAGGGTGCCTTCTCCCTGCTAATTAGGATACTTTTAAAGCACTTCCTTCTGATACAACCAATACTCTGGAGAAGGTGAACCACGTTAGTGGGAGTGACGGTGCGAGTGGATCTAGTGATGGAGCAAGCGGGAGGCGAGGTGCTGCAGGCCCTGAGCAGTCCTTCCTGGCAACCGAGTGACCCACATGTGACTCTGCTGTCTGTCCACAAGCAGGAAGGCACTTCCCCATCAGAGGAGGGAGACTTTCCACGGAGAGTTTTGAATGGAAGCTGGGAAATGCGTTCCAACCAGGTCAGTGCAATTGCAGGCGGGCTGAAAAGCCATAGAGGCTTGGACCAAGTTTACTGTGGAGGTTTCTCTCCAGTCTCATGTAGGGGGGGTTGGGAAGCCGTCGGGGTGGGTAGTGAGAGTAGGAATGTAGCAGTGAGCAGGAGTCTAGGTGATTAATCCCACCATGGGTGAAGCTTGGGTTTTGTGGCTTCCTAGTTCTAGGATATTTTGTAAGCCTCTGTGGAGCAGAAGTTTTCTAAAATGCAAGTCAGAGAAAAATGGGCCCTTCCTCCTTTTTATTTTTTTTTAAAGTTACTACTATATTTTGTTAATCTCCATATTTCAACTAAGTAAACATTTTGAAAATGTTGCTGTACAACGAAGCTGCTTTTGTTAAGCAAATGAAAGTTTTGTTGCTCCAAAGGTCAGGTCATGAGCAAAAGTAGGGCAGTGTAACATTTTGTAAAATGGTGCCTTAGTAGCATATCTGAGTGGGGCTGGGGGTCTGCATGGGGTCTTTTTCATTGACATAGATGGAAAAAAAAGTACTTTTGAAGGCATTCTACTAGTTAGATACAAGGGAGAGTTCTTATAAGTACTTTGCCTCCTCTAAGACTTTTTTCTGGTGTTTATTGTTTAAAAAGTCCCAAAAACTAAAGGAAATTTTGTGAAAAGAGCTTTATGAAATGTACTGTGTGTGAGATTTACATATGTTGAAGTCACGTGGTACTTGAATATTGAAGACAGAAACTCCTTTTGAGTAAGGATTCTGCATTTTACTGTCATGTTTTTAAACCAAGGATATAATTATGCTCTGAAGTATTTATTTTAAAATACTAAAAGTGTTCTTTGGCGTGCTGAATTTGTGGAAAATTCCAAGAGGAATTTTCTTGAAACCAAGAGGTTTCAAGGTTTCTTTCCCAGTAAATTTAGTAACAGAAAGTGTAGAATCATTATTCAGCTGTTGCCAGTTTGGGTAGCTTTGACACAGAGTAGGGGTTAGTGTGATTTGGGGGTAAGAGGACGGGAGCAAGGTGATAGATAGAATCCTGCAAACTCCATGCTCAGTGAATTTTAACTATTCTGTTTTCCAAAGTAGTTGTATAGTTTTAAATTTGTTTCTCTTAGTAGCTAAACTAATATGTGCTAAATCATTTAGAATCTTAAAGGGTGACAAAACATTTAATGTGGATTTTCATATGTTGCCTATTTATGCAATACAGGGTGAATGTTTATATTTTTAGCTGAGTGTTTAAGATAGTGAAATATTAAATATTTGGGGGGATGTGCTTGAGAACATTTCTTTAAAATGTCCAACCTATTTACGAATTCCAATCTATATCTGAAGTTTGGAGATGTGACATATGCTAGTGATTTTTAATGGCCAGCATTAATCTCCCGTGACTAAGGGGGCAAACCTGGTTAGAGGATCCCCTTCAGAAAGGAGGGCCGGGGAAGAGGCCTTGGTGGGGCAGATCTGAGTGCAGATCCACACTCTGCTGATTACAGGTTGTGGGGCCTGGGCAGGTGAGTCTTGGACTCCTCGAACTTCCCATTCCTCATTGCCTCACTTTGTAGATTATTATACAAATGCAAAATAGTATTACTGTTGCCAAAATTATACTTTTCAGTAGACTTTCCATCTCTGAGATCTGTTAGGTATGCTGTTTATCTGGATAGGACTGTGTTAACCCAGTAATCTGGTCTGAGCACAGTTGCAACTGTTTTTTTCTAAAGCTCTTCTTCTTCTTCTTCTTTTTTTTTTTTTTTTTTTAAATGAGATGGAGTCTCACTCTGTTGCTCGGACTAGAGTGCCGTGGCGTGAGCCTAGCTCACAGCAACCTCAAACTCCTGGGCTCAAACGATCCTTCTGCCTCAGCCTCCCAAGTAGCTGGGACTACAGGCATGAGCCACAATGCCCGGCTTATTTTTTCTGTTTTTGGTAGAGACAGGGTCTTGCTCTTGCTCAGGCTGGTTTTGAACTCCTGACCTCAAAAGATCTGCCCGCCATGGCCTCTCAGAGTGCTAGGATTACAGGCCTGAGCCACCATGCCCAGCCAAGTTCTGCTTCTAAAAGTAGCACGTTGCTCATTATAAAAAACAAATTTATCATGGGGAGAGGGGAATAAAAAAGTATAAAGAAGAAAATCAAAACAACTATTTTCTCCCTACACGTATGCAAGTATGTTTATGTGTACATACATATATGGGTTTTTTTTATAAATATGGGATCAGATTATACATACTATTATTTACCTTGCATTTTTTACTGCATATTTTGTGGACAGTTTTCTATATCAGTATATTTATACACACATCTATATCATCATTTTTGATTGCAGTCCATTGTTAAATTTAGGATTATTTTTAGAATTTATATTAATTATCCTCAAATAGGAGAAATTTGTTGTAGCTGATTTATAATTATGAAAACCAGACTAAAATAGTCCGTTATACTTGAGTCCTTATTCACTGTTAACAATATGTTGACTCAAACAATATGTTGACTCAAAGTTATAAATCAAACTTTGGACCTTGATAACTAACACTTATTTAGCACTTGGTATGTGGTAGGTACCTTGGTCTATCACTTAATCACTTTAACAACCTCAGGAGGTATCATCACTTCCCATGGTTCTCATTCCACAGATGAGAAAGCAAAGGCTGAGAGCTTAGGTTGCCTGAAGGATTTAATTCCAGGTCCATCTGACAAGAAGCCCTTGCTTTTCCTTAGGGACATTGAAGTCTTTCTCAATATACTGGGTGAGATAGAGTTTTGAAAATATCTGAGTATTGAAAAGCTGCTAATTTATAGCAAATGGAAAATTAGCTTTCAGGTGGCACTTGATTCACAAAAGACACAGGTAGCTGTGAATATTTAAAAATTGCTATTAATGGTTAGTGGATTTGTTCACTTATATTTTATATTTCTTATACAGTGTAGATAGGTTATACTTTTGGGGTGGAATCATGACTTTGAGCAAGCTGTAGGTTTTTTTTTATTCTTCTATGTTTTGGACAGGCAGAAGGAAAACAAGTCTTTTTTTTTAAGGCGTAACTAGTAAAAACTGGAAGTCTGGAGAACACTCCCCCATCCCATTAGAAAATCTCTCTTGTTTGCTGTTGTGAACAGGGGTAAGCCTGGGGAGATTCCTAGGCATTCAATTCTGAAAAGGGGAGGGAAAGGGAAGAGGACCTTCTTCCCATACATACCCTGCTGGGGAGAGCATGCTAACTGGAGAGTAGAGGCAGGGGCCTCAGTGCCTGGGCCCCAGTGTTCTCATGGAAGCTTCCATAGACTTCTGGGCTGCTTCCTTGGGCCATGGCCTTTCAGCCCCAGGAGGATGTATAGGAGCCTGCCACTGAGACTCCCCCTTCTCCAGCCCCTCCTTACCTCTCTACCTGCATTAGGGGGTGGGGAGTGGTTGGAGGTCACTGGGAACTTGTTCCAAGTGCGTGCAGAATTCCCCTTCTTTCCAGAAACAACTGCCTAAGCCTCCTTACTACATGACTGTATTGACCTCTTTGGCCAAGCTTGGCTGATGTTTTTATTTGTCATCGTATTCTGTATCTGGCAGACCTCAGTCCTCAGGATCAAACTATTGCATGAGTGAACAAATGAATGAACTAGAAGTGAATTTATGTTGCAGCAGAGAGGGCTGATGTTGGACACATTGAACTGATGGTGACTCTAAGGTTGTGTGGACTTACCATTTTTAGAAAGCAAGATATAGAATTTTGTCTTAGGTGGAGGGTGGTTAGGTTGGGTTTTAATTTTGCCTAGATGAAATCAAGCTGACTCAGCTGGCACAGGTATATATCCCTCCTAAAATAAAGGGGAAAAGATGAAGTGGGATGATCTAGTCACTTACAGAAGTAGAAGTGACTGTCTATTGCCATGGAATCATCATTATCAGTTGTTACTAGAATTTTATTTGCATTTCTAGAAAACATAACAATTGGATTTTTTAGTTTTTCCTAAAAGTGGTATCTGCTGGATATAAACATCAGTAACAAAGTATAGAAGCATGGGTTTTTTTCCCTCTAAGACAAATAGTACTACATTTATATAGTTCTGCGTGTTTTTCTCCTTGAACCTATCATGGATTGTCTTTCCATGCAATGCATATGAATTCGCCTATTTTTTTTTATTACATGGAATTCTATTGGATGGACTATATTTTATGTAACCTGTCTCATAGAAGAATATTTAGATGGTTTCCAGTTTTTCACTATTTAAATGTAGCAATGAACATTCTCATGTAATTGTATATCTATGTGATGAAATTCCCAGAAGTGGAATTACTAGGACAAAGGCAGTAGTCATTTAATATTTTGCTATATTGCCTAATTGCTCTCTAAAAAGGTATACATTTACCTTTCTACAAACAGTGATTCAGAACTATTTTTCCTTATACTCTTGTTCACTATATCATCAAACTTGTAAATTTTTACCAGCCTATTGAGTGAAAAGTGATAAATTGTTTAAATGTGTATTTTATTAATTTAAAGAAAGATTTATCAGATACTTGTATTTATTTCTGAGGATTATTTTAAGTAGCAAGTAGCAAGTTAAGTAGCATTTATAGAGTAGTGCTAACTTAAAAACATTAGGTTTATACCTGTCTTTTAAAGAAATGTATTTGTTTTATGTGTAGCTGGTCATGCCTATAATTCTAGGCAGAAAGCAATGCATTCATTAGCCATTATAATATATATTTTTGTGTGACAAAATAAAATACTAATGGCATTATTTTATCAAATCTGAAAATAATTTGCAGTCTATCAACAAAAGTAATCCTGAGCCTATTGACTTCTGTTGTGTAATATCTGAATTAACTTAATGTCATTGGTGTTGACATTTCTTTTAACTAATGATAATATTTTACATATCTCATATACATCTTTTATATCATAATCTTATTCATAATTCTGGGAAATGACATAAAGGAATTATGACTTTATGGTTTCAAATTAGACTATTTCATTCAAGCATAAAAAAATATTCCAAGCTACTACCAGTTGCTTGATAGTGACGAGCCTCTCATTTAAAAGTTCTTCCTTTGGGGAGAGCCTTGAAACATGGAGTATTATCAGAGAAGATTCCGAAGCAGAAAAGTGCTGTTGATTGATAAAAGTCTGATGGAATAGTTGTTACAGTTGGCGTAAGTTAAAAGCAACGGATTCTCTGGTGTGAGGCGGTTGATGGTAAAGCTGTGTGGCAGGAGATTGCAAATGGGTCCTCCGAGATAATGCTGTGAAGTGCTCCTTGGAGAGGTGACTACCATTATTTCATAATTTGTGAATTTCTCAATTTTATTGTGTTGTATATTGAAAACAATACATTTGTGTGTATGTGTGTATTGAGGTTTGTCAGTTTTATTGTTAATTTTTTTTTTCCAAGGCAAGTATCAGTACACTGCATATTGGTTCTCAGTAAGATTAACCTTTTCCCTTGTGGTTGAGAGATGGAAACAGGCAATGGAGAGCCCTTTGTACAGAATTACCCAGAAAGTGCACAGTCTGCCCTCTGGAGGGCAGAGATGGGGACGATGCATACACAGCCCCGCACATAGTAGGCTCTCATACATGTTTGAATGCCTGAGTTTTTTAAGTAGATAAAATTTAGGTAATTATACTGGAAGCTCTTTCTGGACCTTTGTGAAACATTGTTAAAGGACAGGGTAAAGGTTGGAGTTGGGGGTTGGGAGGAATATGTACACAAGTTTTAATGATTCCTTTTCCCTATCAGTAAAATGGGGGGAAATGTAAAGGACCCTGTAGCCTCCCTGTTTGGCTAAATTTTGTCCTCAGTTCATTATCAGACATTTGCAGTGTTGACCATTTAAGTCCCCTTTGGCTCTCAGGCTTCCCTGCGATACTGTAGGGTGGGCATTATTTTTACTTCCATTCTATAACTGAAGGAAACAGGCCTGGGTTTGCTCATACCTAAGACTATCAGACATAACCTCAAGAAATTCACAAGTAGGAAAGACAAATATTTAACTAAATATATGTGAAAATGTTCCCTAGAGTATAAAGCAATGTACAAATGTATCATCAATTCATCATTGTAATCATCTTTATCACAATTGTTAATATTGTTGCCCAAATTAGAGTGATTTAACAAAATATTTTCTTCCTTGCCTTAGCCAAATGGCAAAAGCACATTTATTTTCTGGTTATAAAAGTAAAACTTGTTTTTTTTAATTTGTGTTTTAAAAATTGGAAAATATATACCAGATATTTGGAAAATCAGTATGTCATAACTCACCCAAAGATAACCTCAATTTTGTGTATAAATACAGAAGTGTATACCCCTGTATACATACATACATGGAGATTTAACACGGGGACATTGGTTGTTCCTCAATTTTTCCTCAATGGGGGTTTCAGAGACTGACACCTCCCTTCTGGATATGTAGGGTGGTTTGGTTAAGATCCTTTCTTGAGTCAGGCATTCTTTCTGACCCTCCTTCCCCTGCGAATCTGTGGTAGCCAGAGAATTCCTAGAGAAGGCTAAGCAAGGCACTGATTGATTCTCAAGTATTCAGGATGATGTAGATGGTCCAGGAACCGTTGCCACCTCTGCCTGTGTCCAGCCTCCTGTGTAAGTGGGGTTGCCTCCAGTGTGTTTGCAGTTAGAAATAATGAGGAAAACAGTGCGAGTGCTTCTGAAGTGACAGATAATACTAAGGGCTGAAGTCAGGGCTTCAGGGCCCGGGCAGTTCAGCTCACCTACATGTTAGCCCTGCTTGCTATTGGCAGGTGGGATACAGCTGTTTTTCTTTGTTAAGTTTTCTTCATTTTGCTTTTCTGTGTTGTAGTCCTTTCCTATAATTAACATGGATAAAAAGAAAAGTTAACCTCAGAAGTTGTTTTTAAAAAATTTAGAGCCTGCTGGACTTCTGAGCTGGATTTAAATCCCCAGCTCTGGTACTTACCTTGATTTGTGGCCTTGAATGAGCTTCTGAGTCAGTTGCAACAGTGAAATGGTGATGTTACTTACTTCTAGAATGGTCTTGAGTAGGAGAGATATGAAATGCCATCCTCATAAAATAGCATTCCGAATCAATCATTAATTGTTTGCTGTCATTGGATCTGTGTGCATATTAAAGAATCAGGACTTTTTAAAAATGAATTCTGTGCAAGTTCTGATGAATAGAGTTATATGGGGTGGAGGTTATGTGTTGGAAAAGTTGCAAACATGTGTAACACTTTTGCCTCATAAGTTCTTAAGGGTGCTGCACATCCTTCAGAGTGAAAGACATCTGGAGGATAGGTGAGCTATTGGTATGCTATTTAAAGATGATATAGCTCCAGGTATAACTAAGAGATCTCAAAAGTAGCTAGTGGGTTCTTCAATTATACATGTGTTAGTATTGCTCTTTGATTTGTGATCATAGCCACTTTCTGACAAGGCATGTTCTTTCTGGTTTTTTAATTTCAGATTGGCTTTGAAACCTTTCTTCAAAACATGCCACCCAGTTTCTGATGTCTTCATACCAGACTGGCTTATCCAGGGCTCTCATTTTCCTTTCTGGGCTCCATTTTGGTGAACCAACAGTTAATATATTTTCTTTAACCTATCTTTTTTTAAAAGCTCTGGCACTTTGAGCAAATTCCATGTGACTTGGATGCCTAGAGCTGTAGCAAAGAATTGAAATTCATTTTTGGATTCCTCTCTGTGGCCTCCTGTGTTTCCAGTCCCTTCTAATCCTGATGTCTACTATACTAATAGTTTATTAAAAATTAAAAAGCTAGCAAAAGTTCTTCCCTAACCTGGTGTTGGGTCTGCAGAAAAGTCCCAAGTGTTTGTCCTCAAGGAGTGTAGAATTTATTGAATTAGACAAAACCAGGGCACCCACAAAGCTTTCCCTGGACATCCAATCGGAACTATGGCCTGCTCTCTATCCTCAAAATTGTTTGATGAACACTTAAATCTAGATATGTTTATTTGTTTTTTAAAACTCATCATGAAGGTTTTTTTCCCCAAAAGATTGTCTTATTGAAGAACTAAATTAAAAGCCTACATATACCATTTGTCTACACCTTAAAACTATCCAAACACCTCACAACTGTTAGGAGGTTGTTCCTAAACCAGCAGATACTCTGATTTTATAAAGAGGTGTTATTTGTAGAGCTTTGTCTTCTGTAACTGCTTGTCTTTAGAAACCTGTCTGTCTAGAAAGAGGATTTCTGACTGTTGTCTGTTATAAAACAAATAGCTTTCAACACTTCTGCAGACCCTTTTGGCAGGAACATAGAATCAACAGTCCAGACATTAAGAGCCACTACTGTGGCATGGGGTTTGGGAAGTTGGAGGTGGAGTTAACACCAAAAAATATAATTTGGGTAGTAAATCATGAGGGATTTGTTTTTCCAAATCTATATAGTTGAGGGTTATATCTTATGATGAGGAGGATATTTTTACTTGATAAGGTGTGATATGAAAACAAATGTCCTTGAATATCTTTTTAGTTTTTCTTTCATCCTTGGTTTCTTTTCAGTTAAACAAGTATTTAATTAATGCTAATTATAATCAAATCACTGTTCTGAATCTTCTTTGTGCCCATGTTATTTTAATTTTTAAATTAATTAGTTTTTAGAATTTGGTGATGCATGTGCATTGTATAGTAAGTTGTACAGTGAAAATAACTCTTCTCCGAATCCCAGCCACCTACCTGATCCCTTCAGCTGTCCCTGGACCAGTTTCTTATGCATTCTCTTAGAGATAATCTGTACATATATTCTTGCTTTGCAGAGGTCTTGCTAGCATACTGTGATAGATTTGTGGCCCTCTCAATGAACTATACTCCCCTTGTATTCAAGCCCTGTGTAATTCCCACCCATATTGACTGAGCTTAACCATGTGACTGGTTTTGGCCAATGGGAATTAGCAAGTGTAATGCAAGCAGAAGTTCCTACACATTGGGACTTGTTCACTAGGAATGCTTGCTATTGTGACACTCCCTCTTAGAACCCAGGACCCTCTAGCTATTGAGGGTCCCCTCCTAATTATGCAGAACAGCTACATGGAAGAGAACTGAGGTTCTTGCCAACAGCCTTAGCTGAACCTCCTGTCAGCACCAAGCATCAGTTTGACAGCCATGTGGTAAATGAACCATCTCCTTGAAAGTGAAACCTCCAGCTCCATTCAGGCCCTCCACCCCCACAAGATGATGATACATGAAGCATGGACAAGCTTTCCTTCCTGAGCCCTGTCCACCTTGAAAAACTGTGAGCTGTTGCTATTAAGGTGTTAAATTTGGTATGCCATGCAGCAATAGATGGCAAACATACTATGTGGTATATTCTGTGCCTTGCTTTTTTCATTGACCAATATATTAGATATCAGCCTATTTCAGTACATACAGAGCTGCTTCATTCATTTTAAGAGCTGAATAGCGTTCCATTGTAAGGCTGTTCAATAATTTAACCAGCCTCTTATTGATGGACATTTATGTTGTTTCCATTCTTAACACAGCATTTAATATTTTTGTTGCATGCTTCCTTTTGAACATGAGCAAATATACTTATTGGATAAATTTTTAGAAGTAGAATTGCTGGGTCAAAGAGCACGTAAATTTGTAATTTTAGTAGGTATCACCAAATTGCCCTCTAAAGAGGTTACACTCTCACTAGCAGTGTAGGAAAACCGGACCGATGGGGCCAGCTTGCCTGGTGAGCACTGTGCCACAGTGTGGTTGGAATGTTCCATTTCTTTTTAATATATTTTCATATACTTAAAAGCCATTTGGAAGGGGGGGCAAGGGCAATATACATAACCTTAACATTTGTACCCCTATAATATGCTGAAATTTAAAAAAGCCATTTGCATTTCCTTTGTGAACTATCTACTTTTTTCTATTTGGATTACTAGCGTACCCCTATAATATGCTGAAATTTAAAAAAGCCATTTGCATTTCCTTTGTGAACTATCTACTTTTTTCTATTTGGATTACTAGCCTTTTTCTTCTTTGAAGGAACTCATTACATATTAAAGAAATTAGTTCTTTTTTTTTTCTTGGTTTTATTGTTTGCATTTTTTTAATTAATTAATTTTATTTTAGCGTATTATGGAGGTACAAGTGCTAAGGTTACATACATTGCCCATGCCCCTCTCCCCCCTCGAGTAAGAGCTTCAAGTGTGTCCATCCCCCAAACATTGCACATCTTACTCGTTTGGTTGTATATACCCATCCCCTCCTCCCCGTCCCTCCTGCCTGACACCTGATAAATGTTACTCCTACATGTCCACTTAGGTGTTGATCTGTTAATACCAATTTGCTGGTGAGTACATGTGGTGCTGGTTTTTCTATTCTTGAGATACTTCACTTAGTAGAATGGGTTCCAGCTCTATTCAGGAATATACAAGAGGTGCTATATCACCATTGTTTCTTAAAGCTGAGTAGTACTCTGTGGTATACATATACCACATTTTATTCATCCACTCATGAATTGATGGACACTTGTTTCCATAGCTTTGCAATTGTGAATTGTGCTACTATAAACATTCGCGTGCAGGTGTCTTTTTTGTAGAGTGTCATTGGATCTTTTGGGTAGATGTCCAGTAGTGGAATTGCTGGATCAAATGGTAGATCTACTTGTATTGCTTTGAGGTATCTCCATATTGCTTTCCACAGAGGTTGAACTAGTTTGCAGTCCCAAGGAAATTAGTTCTTAATGTAAGCTATGTGAAGCAAATCTTTCTTCCCCTCTGTGTCTTATCTTTTGACTTGGTTTGAGTGATTTTTTTTTCCTTATAGCTTTTGGATTTTCTTGTGTTGTTCTGTTTGTCATATTTAGGCTTTCCCCACTTTTGAGTTTATTATAGATATTCTCCTATGTTTTCCTCTAGTATTTTTATTATTCAATTTGTTACATTTTGATCTATCTGAAATGTCTTTTAACATGTAAGTTCCTAATTTTTATTTTTCCAAATAGGTTTCTGAAATGGCTGGCCAGTTGTCTATTAATATTATTATGCCATGTCATGCTTATCATGTATAGTCATGTACCTCATAATGTTTCTGTCAATGATGGAGCACATAGCAGTGGTCTGATGTGATTCTGTGGGGCTGAAAAATTTCTGTGGCCTAGTGTCATTGTAGCCCTTGTAATGTGATAGCATAAAACATTCCTTGTGTTTTTGTGGTGATGCTGGTTTAAACTAACCTACCTTGCTGCCAGTTATACAGAAGCCCAGCACATACAATTATATATGGTAGATAATTGATAATGATACTTGATACATAATTGATAATGATATATAATTGAAAATGATAATAAATGACTATGTTACTGATTTATGTATTTAATTTAATAAATTTAAATTTATTAATAATCAATAATAATTTATTATTTTATTTGAATTTATTTAAAAATTTAATGTATTAAATTCTAATACATTAAATTTAATGTATTAACCATTATTTTAGAGTATACTACTTATAAAGAGAAAAAAGTTGACTGTTAGAACAGTTTCAGGTAGGTTGTTCAGGAAGTAAATTTCTGAAGAAGGCATTGTTATTACGGGAGATGACAGCTCCATGGGTGTTATTGCCACTGAAGATCTTCCAGTGGAGTAGATGTGGGGGTGGAAGACAGTGGTATTGATGATCCTGTATAGGCCTAGGCTAATGTGTATGTGCCTTAATTTTTAACAAAAACATCTAAAAAGTTTAAAAAAATGTAAAAATAGAAAAACATAGATTAAGGATATAAAGAAAAAATATTTTTGTATAGCTGTACAATATGATTGTGTTTTAAGCTAAGTGTTATTACAAAAGAGTAAAGTATTAAAAATTTTAAAAATTTATAAAATAAAAAAATTACAGTAAGCTAAGGTTAATTTATTATTGAAGAGAGAAAATTTGCTTTATTAATTTAGTGTAGCCTAAGTGTACCATGTCTATAAAGTTTATAAGGTAGCATACAGTAATGTCCTAAGCTATCACATTCACTCTTCACTCACTCACTAACTTACCCCAGCAACTTCTAGTCTTGCAAGCTTCATTCATGGTAAGTACCCTATACAGATGCACCACTTTTTATCTTTTATGCCATATATTTACTGTACCTTTTATATGTTTAGATGCACAAATACTTACCATTGTGTTTCCATTTGCCTGCAGTATTCAGTATGCTGTATAGGTGGGTAGCCTAGGAGCAATAGGCTGTACCATGCAGCCTGGCTGTGTAGTAGGCTGTACTATGTAGGTTTGTGTAAGTATACTCTGTGATGTTTGCACAGTGACAAAATCACCTAATGATTCATTTCCCAGGCTGTGGTCAAGTTCCAGGTGGAAGGCATGACCTGCGTCACCACCACCAAAGGCAATGAATGACTGCGTTTATTGAATTCAATAGACACTTGAATGGCTATCCCTCAAATTACTTAATTATTCCGTTTTTATCTGCTATCTTAGGAAATGCTACAGTGATTATTTAAAAAAAACGATTATGATTATTAATCCCAGACTAGCTTACTGTTCCCTTTGTAGATATACAAATCAACATTTATAGTCTGCATTTTAAAAGTTATCTAAATCTTCATCTTGTTAAGCTGCTCACAAGCCAAAATTAGAAAGACCTGCATTTTATGTTCAGGGATATGGAGATGATCCATCCATGTAATTGGGATTTATCTGAGGATAACCAGGATCGTGTACAAGTAGAGAGAAACATGATTTTTTTATTGTGTATCATATATAAGAGCCTGTCCCCAAATTTCTGAAGCACACATAATAATACTGGTGTAAAAACTACATCTAATTGCAAGAGTAGAAGGCTAGAAGCCTGAGAAAGGAAGATTTTGTCTTGTTAATAGAGTAGCTGAGGCTACATCATCATGTGTAGAAATCAGGAAATAACACCTGTACTGTGGTGCATTAAGAAAATAGGTCTGTTTAATTTGGCAGTGCACCTAAAATTTTAGGTAATGACTGTAGCTCTCCTGAACACCCAGGAGGGCAGTGACAGAGGCCGAGCTGTGAAGTTGCTTGTTAAACTAAACTCCGGTACTTCCAGCATTTCCCCTCCTGTCCCTCTTGGCCCAGCCACACTGCTCATTTCGCCTTGTCCAGGGAGTGTATGTACCTACAGAGTTTTCACAGGCATGTGGCCCACCTGCAGGTTCTGATCCTAGGGGCCTGGGAGATCTGCATTTGCAGACTGCACCCAAAGAATGTTAATCACATTTAACCCCTGCTAAGAGGATCAGACAAATACCCCTAGAAAGAGATACAGAAATGTACTGTTGCCTGTTCTGGGGCCTGCATTGCCGCAGGACCCCCACAGTCTGAGCTGAAAAGACCAAGTTTTGCAGGGTGGTTTCAGGTATCAGCCAGAGATGGGGAGCTCTCTCGTGACACCTGTGCCTTCTCTTCTTGGGCCACGGTGCTCTCTGCCTCTGCTGGAGGCCAGCCATGCTGTGCTCCATGCATAAAGCTGCATCATACTTTCCTTCTCTCCCTCAGAATCCTCCACATCTGCTGGGTGAGAAAGACGTTTCCTTAAGGAGGGCAGCCAGTTGGCTTCTAGGTTCAGAATCACAGAGTGTCAAGAGCTAAAAGGAACCCATTTGAGCCCTTTCATTTTATAAATGATGTCCTTAACTTTCTTTCTCTGTATTTTATGTTCTCATACCCTTGGGATGTTCTTATACCAGTGGCTTTGTTTTTCATTTTCTCAGTGCCAGGCAAACTGGAATATTGTAGAAAATATTTAGTTTTAAGGATAAAAAATGTTGTATCTTTTCCTTTTAGATCTTGACTAAACTTTCTTTGCCTGCCCCTGAGTGGGAACCAGCAATGAAGCAGAGTTTTGCCTTTGACAACGTTGGCTTCGAAGGTAGTCTGGATGGCCTGTGCCCTTCTCCTCCAGTGAGCACCAGCATGATCCGGATTTGGGGTATGACTTGCCAGTCATGTGTAAAATCCATCGAGGACATGATTTCCGGTTTGAAAGGCGTTGTAAGCATTAAGGTTTCCCTGGAACAAGGCAGTGCAACTGTGAACTACGTGCCATCAGTCATAAGCCTGCGACAGGTCTGCCATCAAATCGAGGACATGGGCTTTGAAGCCAGCATTGCAGAAGGAAAGGCTGCTTCCTGGCCCTCAAGGTCCTTGCCCCCCCAGGAGGCTGTGGCCAAGCTCCGGGTGCAGGGCATGACCTGCCAGTCCTGCGTCAGCTCCATCGAAGGCAAGATCCGGAAACTGCAAGGAGTAGTGAGAGTCAAAGTCTCGCTCAGCAACCAAGAGGCCATCGTCACTTATCAGCCTTATCTTATTCAACCCGAAGACCTCAGGGACCATGTAAATGACATGGGATTTGAAGCTGCCATCAAGAGCAAAGCGACTCCCTTAAGCCTGGGACCAATTGATATTGGGCGGTTACAAAGCACTAACCCAAAGAGACCTTTAGCTTTTGCTAACCAGAATTTCAGTAATTCTGAGACCTCGGGCCAACAAGGAAGCCACGTGGTCACCCTCCAACTGAGAATAGATGGAATGCACTGTAAGTCTTGCGTCTTGAATATTGAAGGAAACATAGGCCAACTCCCAGGGGTTCAAAATATTCAAGTGTCCTTGGAGAACAGAACTGCCCAAGTACAGTATGACCCTTCTCTTACCAGCCCAGTGTCTTTGCAGAGGGCCATCGAGGCGCTTCCACCTGGGAACTTTAAAGTTTCTCTTCCTGATGGAGCAGAAAGGAGCGAGACAGATCCTGGGCCTTCCGGTTGTCACTCCCCTGGCTCCCCGCAGAGAAACCAGGTGCAGGGCACGTGCAGTACCACTGTGCTCGCCATTGCTGGCATGACCTGTGCGTCCTGTGTCCAGTCCATCGAAGGCGTGATCTCCCGACGGGAAGGGGTGCAGCAGATGTCAGTCTCTTTGGCTGAGGGGACTGGGACGGTTCTTCACGATCCCTCTGTAATTAGCTCAGAAGAGCTCAGAGCTGCTATAGAAGACATGGGATTTGAGGCTTCAATCATTCCTGCTGGTATGTAGTTGATCTATGTGCAAAGTGTGTCCTGGAGTTGTCGCCTTTTCTCTTTGTGTCTTAAAACATAGTTTCTGCACGGTGGGATAGGTGAGCCCCACTCACTGCCTTACATACCGACACCTGAATAAACTGCCACCTTTCCTCACGTGTCAAATTTGTCAGGGTAGATGAAATACAATTTCCCAGTGTTTAGATTTTGCCTCTCGTGTAGTTGGGACTTTGTATTAGTCGTTTCTGTTGCTTATAACAGAATACCAGAAACTGGGTAATTTATAAAGAAAAGGAATTTGTTTCTTACAGTTATGGAGCAGTCGAAGGTTGAGGGGTGGCATCTTATGAGTGCTTTCTTGCTGGTGGGGACTCTCTGAAGTGTGCCATGGTGGGGACTGGGGGCTGAGTGTGCTAACATGTTTGCTCAGGTCTCTTCCTCTTACATATTTCCCCTCTCATGGTAACTCAACAATCCATTAACCCATGAGTGAATTAATCCATTCACCAGGGCAGGGCCCTAATGATCCAGTCACCTCTTAAAGGCCCACTTTTCAATACAGCCACATTAGGGATTGTGTTTCCAACACATAAAATTTGGGGGATACATTCAAACCATAGCACACCCAAATATCAGGAACTTCTTGGATTTGGGCTTCTTTTTGGGAGAGAATTCTAACTCTGTGTTCTGAAATAGAGCACTCTGGAAACGTCAGGTCCTTCTCTTACCAAAGGAACTATTACCACCTCCAAAGATTGCTCTGCTAAACAAAATAGAATAATAAAAACAACAGAATCTGAGTTTTGTCACCCAGATACCATTTTGTTAGAAGTGGGAATTAGGAGAAGGGTGTGATTGTGACTTCCCTTGCCTCTTTGATGGCTGTAGGAGAAGAGGGAGAGGCGAGGGAAACCCAGTGGGTCTAATCCAAGGAAACACAGGTGAGATTATGTTTCAGAGGAGCAATCTGGTGTCAGGCACAGCACGGATTGAGGCAGTGAGACCACGTGGGAGGCTGGGTGAGGAGAGAGGGGGGCTGGAGAGCAGGATGTGGATCTCAAAGACAGGAGGAGGTCGGCTCCACTGATGGGGCGGCCGTGGGGAGAAGAGGGGGGTTACTGGGTGAGCCCCTAGCCGAGGTGCTAGAGGACAGCCGGATAGAAGGGTCTTGAGTTTCAAGGGAGAGTGTGGGCCAGAGAGGCAGGTTTGAGTGTGGAGGCGCTGGGAGATGACAGAGACCCAGGGAGAGAGAGTGTGGGATGGGAAAACAGCAGAGGGAAGAAGGGAGCAGAGAGGAAAGGAGTCTCCCAGGCATCCTGAATGTGACCATGCCAAAGTGCAGAGGCTAAGGTCTGAACTGTGTCTTTCAGGGTGAACTAGGGGGAGGCTATAGAAGCTTTGGCAGCTGCTTCAGGACCCCAGGAAGGTGGGAGCCCAGCCTGCCTGTGGGGAGTGGCTGGGGACCACCAGTAGCTTAGGCCAGAAGTTCTGGAGAAGGCCATAGATGGGTGGGGTGGTTAAGAAAGAGGGGAAGACAGGACGGAAGGGCAGGTGTTGGGAGGGGCAGCTCTGTGGGTGGTGTGTTTTAACTGTTTGGGTCCCAGATGCAGGCCTCGTATGTCCATGTGGTTCTATAGCCTGGACTTGGACGTGGCCAGCTTCATCCACCTTTGGCTGAGTGCGATGCTACAGTGGCCCAGCACTGGAAAGAGCTGCTGTCAGCATCACGGACAAGCCCCCCAAGGCTCAGGCGCTCAGGGCCAACTGGACTTTGGTTTCCCACATCCTGTTTCCTGTGTCCACTGAGATAACGTCTGTTTCCTTGAAAAGTTCACTCTGTTGTGATTCTTTCCTGCCTCCCCCTTGTATGCCCAGCACACACACTGCTGAAGGGAGTGGGTAATCGCGGAGTGGCTTGGCCACATTCTGTGCTTTGTCTTTTGTACCAAGTTTCAGGAAGGAGTTTAAAAAAAAAAATCAATAAGGAAAATAATAGAATAGTAAGTCCTGTACTCAGAAGGTAAGAAATACAGTATAAGGTCAACATCATCTGTATTTGTGTGATGTTTAAAGTCTTTCAACAGTGCGGTCAGGTTATTGGTGGTAAAGAGAAGTTAGCATTGAACTACATATTACAGAATAATTGAATTGAGTATTTATGGCATACTAAAAAATCATTTGTTTTTTTTTATCTGAAATTCAAATGTAACTGGATGCCCTGTATTTTACCTGGCACCTTTGATTTAGAATAAACCATTAGTGTGCTGATGACTGTCTTTTATGACCACTTAAATGCTGGTTAAGTATTTGATCAGTCTTTAATTGATTAGGAGCCCCTTGAAGACAATCTTCAAACCAGTGTGATTTGTTTCTCCCTGGACCCACTAACACCCAGCACATAGTAGGTATTCATGAAGGAGATGAGAGAGGAAGTCATGGGCTATGACAGGCAGAGTCACTGGTCGCTCAGTGGAGGGATTTAAAACAGGGAACTAATTACAAAGGTGTTAGAGAGTTGAAAATCCAAGTCGATAACCCCAGAGATTAACAGCAACAGGAAGCCACCTCCTCCAGGGCTGGAGGATCTGAGGGACCAAGGGGAGTTACTAAGGGCCCCGGGACTGAGGTTACCTGGTGGGCCCTGGGACCACTGGAACCAGGAAGGGAGAGGCAGGAGCTGGGATCCTAGTAGATGCGGAAACAGTTTGGGTTTTTTTTCCCCCTTTCTATCCTACTGGTTTTCCATTTGTTAACCTTCCCTGGGCCAAATGTAATCAGAAACCAATTGGCAAGGAGGCCTGGGAAGAATGGTTTGTTGGGCCAGCCTGCTCTCCCGCCAATCCCAACTCTGTGATAGTGGAGCAAGAGGGAGGGAGGAAGGGAAACGGGCCTTAGAGCAGACAGGCAGGTGACAGGCATTGAAATTCACTCCACTGAAAATACATTTAGACCTGGTTTTCACCTAGAAGGCAGCTCCGCATTTGCTCACTTGCTTCCGTGGTGTTGTTTTGAATGGATGGATGAATGGATAATATGAATGTAGTGTGAGGAAGTCACTGTCATGAATGACATGTTCCTCCCACTCTTGTAAATAGGTGTCACTTCAGAGGCACCAGTCCCTCATCCTGGCACGTGCTGAGGGCCTGCCGGGTCCCAGATGCCACGTGATTTACTACCTCAAACTCTACCCAGGAAATAATTGGAGTATATTGTAGACTTTAATGTGGAATCTTAAAACAATAAAGCTTTTAGAAGAAAATGTCACGGATCTTTTCACACTGTTGAGTAGACACATCTATTAAGAGAGTACAAAAAGTACTAACTGTTAAAAAAAAAGATTGATAATTTGGGCTTCATTAACATTAAGGACTTCTTTTATCAAAAGGTACCATTAGTGGAGGGAAACCACAAACCACAAACTGGGAGGAGATATTTGCAATGCATACAACCGACAAAAGAGTCATACCTAGACTATGTATAGAACTTGTACAAACAATGAGGAAAAGGCAGACAATAAAGGTGCGATTCTCATGGAGAGGGAGCCAAACCTCCCAGGATGAGGGAGTGGTCAAAGCGACAGACCCTGGAGATGGAGGACCTGGTTTAGAGGCTGGGTTCATTACTTACTGCCTGAGGGATCTGAGGCACATTAACTGCTTGTAACTCTTTTCTTCATCTATGAAATGGGGATAATAGTATTTACCACATGGGGCTATTTTAATGATTAAAGGGGATCACGCTTAGCAGAGTGCCTGCTGAGTTACTATTACTATTATTATTTATTGTTATCCCCCATCTAATGAGAGCATTTGCCCAATCACAACCATCATTCTTGAAGTATTGGCCTATTTTCGTGTATTTGTGATTGTGGGCCTGTCTCTGGTTGTGGGGAGGGAGAGACAGAGATGGAAACACCAACCCCTGTGTGGCCCCTCCAAGAGCTTTAATCTGAGTGTTGACAGGTGTGAACCTCTTGTTCTGAAAAAGAAATTATTACTTGTTCTTCTAATTTGAGTTATTTCTGACATTTTATCCTAGGAAACCATTCCACCAACCCTGCTGGAAACCCCAGTGCTAGCAATTCCATGGTGCAAACCACAGGTGGCACACCTGTCTCTGTGCAGGAAGTGGCTCCCCATGCTGGAGGGGCCCCTCAAAACCACGACCCCAGCCGCTCACCAAAGTCCCTTCGACCCACCAGAACAGTGGCACCACAGAAGTGTTTTTTACAGATCAAAGGCATGACCTGTGCGTCCTGTGTGTCTAACATTGAAAGGAATCTGCAGAAAGAAGCTGGTAGGAGATGAACACCCATGTCGAACTTGGGAATGCCATCTATAGACCTTGTGTTCTGCCTTCAGAATCTCCATTGACTATTTATCAGTAGCCCTGATAACTGTAGCAAGTTCATCCTATGATAGTATTAAATGTTTGTCTGATGTCCTTGTACAATTGACATGCTTTTCTTTAGGAAGTATTTAGTTTGAGATAAAATACATCTCAGAGTAAGTTAGCCATGGAAAATCCAGTTTAAAGGTCATGGTACAGTCTACCAATAGACTTCTCAATTGGCATGCCTTGATATTATTCTATATTTCCCCCCTCCCATCAACCCCTTACTATATATAAATCAATAAATAGCCTGCATTTTGTGCAGAAGTTCCAATTTCAAATATTCTGTCCCATTGTCCCTGTAAACCATAGAATGTTGTGGAAATGCCAAAGTTTTGTCCTCCAAACTACATTCTCAATACTTTAAAACCTGAAAGTACACGAAAAATCCTGCGTCATTGTTTTGTTTGGAAAATACCTTAACTGTGACTGTCCCTTGCCACCAGAGTCACTTTCGTTCCTCATCCCAGTGGCTCTGTGTATCTTTGTGCTGGGTCTCTCCGGCGTTTAGAATCAACCCGGAATTTGGATGACACGTTTTTCCAGCCTCTTGTTCACTATGCTTTATAGCTTCCTGGAGCTCTGGAATGACTGTTCTCAAATTGAGGTGTTAATGGGAGTTTCTTCCTCATTGGTGGTCTGGCTGCTCATAAAACTAACCTGTAGCTCCCTGGTGCCTGTGTTTCTGTTGCTTACTTGGATCACTCATTTTTGTCCCTTGTGGCGTTGTTGTCCCTTATGGCATGCTTTCTAGCACATCATTCCTTTCATTTATTTTAATGAGATTTCTCCCCACCCTCCATCCCCCCCTAAACTAATAGTTAACTTGCTAACTAATAATGTTAGCAAGATAGTCCGAAATTTCTTTTTTACTCCTGATAGCTATTAGAAACTGAAAAAGTGTAAGAAAAACCACTTTTGAAAATTCTTAATTTTTTTCCTTGCATGAAAGTATCTGGAGGAAAAAACTATGTCTTTTCTGTAGCAGTAGTTGATGGCTGTGTTCTAAAGCCCAAGTCAGAGCGTGGCCCACAGGCCAGAGCATGGGCATCGCCTAGGACTGGGTAGACAAGCAGAATCTCAGACCTCATCCTAGACCAACTGAATCAGAATCTCTATTTTAACAAATAGAGATTCCTTGGGCGATTCATATGCCCATTACAGTTTGAGAAGTATTGTTCTAGAATAGTGGTTCTCCAAATTGCCCGTACATTAGGATCACCTGGGAAGCTTTTTTTTTTTTAAAAAAAAAAATGATGCCTGGCACCTACACTGAGAGATGCTGATTTGATTGGCCTGGGATAAGGACCAGGCATCACGACTGTTAAAAGGTCCCCAAGCAATCCTTATGTTCGCTTATCCCACGTTTGGGAACCACTGTTCGCGAGGCTTCTGGGGAGATGTTTTTCTTTGTTAGATCATGTTGCCCCCAGAGGCCTTGGCCAGCGTGTTACAACTGTGACCCGATGGTTCCAGGTGTTGTCTCCGTGTTGGTTGCCTTGATGGCGGGAAAGGCAGAGGTCAAGTACGATCCGGAAGTCATCCAGCCGCTCCAGATAGCTCAGCTCGTCACAGACCAGGGCTTTGAGGCAACAGTCATGGAGGACTACGCAGGCTCAGTTGGTGACATCGAGCTGATCGTAAGTACGATGGCTGTTTGCAGATGAGTTTCTGGTAGCAGATCGTCTTTGTGCTTAGTAAATTTCCCGTCTTGGGTGTATCCTGTTTGTTGTTGTTGCTGGGCTTTTTGTTTTGTTTTCTTTTGAAGCCAACAACGGCTCGTTCATTCTGTGCAGGAAGGTCAGTCATGTTAACAGTCCCGGGAGGGATCCCACTGAGTGCATCCAGGGTGTCAGGAGCAAGTGGTGGTGACTCACAGGAGTACAGGAGGAATTAAAAGTGGTAGGCTGTCCTGTGCTGGGTGCTTTGGGGGAGGCTGAACATGAACACAGTCTTTCAGTCCTAAAGGGAAGCTGGCATCCAGCAGGTACCTTGAAGCAGAAGAGGTGAGGCTGTGTGGTAGCAAGTGCCATTCAAAGCTGGAGGGGGCTTGTTTGTAGGCACCCTCAGTCAGACGCAAATGCACACAGTGGTGGTGGTTGCCAGTATGGGTGGGGAGGTATTGTTTCCATCTGTCTGTTGTTACCCGCCACACATGTCAACAAATCATTGAAAACAACAGGTGTGTCTGGTACCTAGAGCATGCTGTATTTGAAAGCACTTCTGTACAAATCTCTTTTTGTGTAAACACAGAGTCGTAGAAGAACCCACAGAGAATTGAATAACACTGCTTTACCCGGGTCAAAGAGTCTTCTACCCTCTTAGTGTATTTGATCACTGCCCTCAGTGCTAAGGAAATGTTTGAGGGAAAGTGTCGAGGGCAGAGTGGCATGTGGGCTCCTGGCGAGTGGCCTTCTCTGTGGAGCAGGTCCTTTGCTCTGGGTGGGCCTCCCTCCCTGGGACTGGAGGGTGCAGCTCGGGTCAGCCAGGGAGAGGCGCAGCGTCCCTGCTGCACACCTCTGGCTCCATGTGTGTGGACCTCTCTGCCTGCGTAGACTACTGCGTGGGAAATAAATGCTGCAGGAGCGTTACTGGAAAAGGTGGCAACTTTTTCTCAACAGTTTTTTATTGCAGTGTTCTTTTTTTAAAACTCTGATGTATCAATAGTTATTTTTTTATTTTTTATTTTTTTTTTGAAACAGAGTCTCACTTTGTTGCCCAGGCTAGAGTGAGTGCCATGGCGTCAGCCTAGCTCACAGCAACCTCAAAGTCCTGGGCTCAAGCGATCCTCCTGTCTCAGCCTCCCGAGTAGCTGGGACTACAGGCATGCGCCACCATGCCCGGCTAATTTTTTCTATATATATTAGTTGGCCAATTAATTTTTCTATTTATAGTAGAGACGGGGTCTCGCTCTTGCTCAGGCTGGTTTCGAACTCCTGACCTCGAACATTCCACCTGCCTTGGCCTCCCAGAGTGCTAGGATTACAGGCGTGAGCCACCGCGCCCAGCCTCAATAGTTATTTTGTCATCACACGTCCACAGGTGTTTTATGGGAACTCCTGTATTTAGTATTCTAGAAAATGCTGACTATTGATACTCAGAATAGTGAATTGTTTGACATGCCTGATATACTAATATATCCCAGCACTGACACGACACCCTCAGACCCCCTTTCTCACGTCAGGATGCACGGCGTGACACGGCAGAAGTGGCGTAGGCTCTGCTGGCCCTGTCGCTGCAGGGACATTTCTTAGCTTGGTCTGGGGAGGCTCACTTCATGCTGCAGACGGCAGCAGCTCGCAGCAGACTCTGGTCTCTGCCCCTTGCTGGTTGTGCGACTTTGGACAAGTTCCTAAAACTGCAGTTTTGAGACCTAGCTAGTGGGGTTGGTTTGAGCAGCACAGTGCCTGGGACAGTACCAGGCACATTGCAAGTGCACAATAAATGCTACTGATTATTATTATAAAAATAAAAGGACAGTGTAGAGGCACCATTGAAATATTTGGAGACTTGATAGAAAATTCTGTTAGTGTAGCAGGTAAGCGCCTTAAGTTTATGTGATGGTCCTTGCTTTCCAGTCTTTTCCTTGGTCTCATGCCAAGTTTAATGCATTCTGATTACAGAGGAGCTGCCCTCACCTTCCTCCCTGGTTCCAGATGGGATTCTCTCATCTCTTTTGGTATTTATTGTGGGACCACTGATGCAAGTTTCACAAGGTAGCTCCAGTCACGTCATTCCAGCGCTCATTGCCCCTTGGTGACTTCACATCGAGTGCTGGCTTGGCAACAGTTTTCAGCTGGCTGCTCAGGGGCCTTCAGGCTGTGAACCTAACCAATGCTACAGCCTTCCTTCCTCTCCCTCCCGCATCCTGTGCCAGTCAGCCTGGCTGTTGATTGTCTTGGCTATTGGTTGCCTGAGCACCTCATGCTGTCGCTGCCTTTTGTGTTTTCCAAGCTTCTCCCTCTAGGAGTACCTTTACCCTCACCTGTCAACACCACGTCTACACTTTGGGCCTCCGGTCCATCTCCTCCATCAGTCCCTTCCAAAGTCTTTTTCTCCTGTTGGTGATAAGGTATTGACATTGCCACCCATGGAGCCAGCCAGGCACTCAGGTAGGGAGGGTACCCACAGCAGCTGCAGACCACATGCCAGTGACACTCGGGATTACAGAGAGTATTTTGGGAGTTCAGAGGGTTTTGCAGAGGTGCACATCCTTACCTTTTGGAGGCAGTTATTATCCCAGTATTGCTGATGAGAAAACCGAGACAGGGTGGAGAGTAGCTAATGAAAGCCCAGCATTATCAGAACCAGAAGTCATGCCCTGGTCTGTTGTTGTATTCTTTGTGACTATCTCCTATACTCGAGTCGGGGAAGAACCACTGTTTATGTCCCGGAAGCCACTAGGGGCATGCTGAGAGTCTCGCACACGGGGTTTAGAGGTAGGGTCCAGAGTCTCGGGACTGTCGCTGCAGAAGGGAAAAGGCACGTGGCTGCCTGTTATCCTGAAGTGCCTTTGATAACAGGCTCATCTTGATCTGAGGTCTGTGGGATTCTTGTCATCCTGTGTTGCAGGTCACGGGGATGACCTGCGCCTCCTGTGTCCACAACATAGAGTCCAAGCTCATGAGGACAAATGGCATCACCTACGCCTCTGTGGCCCTTGCCACCAGCAAAGCCCTTGTTAAATTCGATCCAGAAGTTATCGGTCCACGGGATATTATCAAAATTATTGAGGTAAGTCATTCGTTAAAAAATTATACTCACCTTTTTTAAAAACCTTTTTTTTAAAAAAAAATTATACTCACCTTTTAAGAATATGTAAATAAGTTTATACTAATAAATACTCACCTTTTTAAAAACAGCAATATATAATCATTGAAGGAAAATGAGAAAATAGAGCTAGGCAAAAAGAAGAAACAAAAATCACCTCAAATCCTTCCAGTTTTCCCACAGAAATAATCTCAATCATTTTAAAATAAACTGTGAAGATAAGTAAATATCAAATAATCTGTGGAGGGATATCAGTGAATGGGTAGGAAAAAGGTAGGGAAAAAATATTGTTTTAATTTCAGATATTCCTTGAGAAATAGCAATGTTGCCTGCTGACAGAAGGAATAAGAATTACCTCGTGATGCCCTCTTCTCAGGGATGGCTCAGTCCCTGAGCTTAGCAGAGTCCTGAACTTCTGAACAGGGTTCGTAGGGCAATTTGGGTAAAGAAGTTGTGAGAGGAAAACCCGCTAAAGCCGTCTGAGGCACTTTTATATTCTTTCTAATTTCCAAAGCTGTAAAGTGCTCTCTGCCAGTGCATGTTTTAACCAGGTATACCCTCCTCCTTTATCCCCACCCTCTCTTTTAATAACAAGGAAATTGGCTTTCATGCTTCTGTGGCGCAGAGAAACCCCAGCGCTCATCACTTGGACCACAAGATGGAAATAAAGCAGTAAGTGGAACACAAAAGATAAATTGTAGCTCTTGTCTAAGTGTCTTACTGACCCTGGGCCCCACTCTGTGGCTCATGCTTGTTGGTGTCCCCTGGCTTCCCATGGTGCCTTCCACCTGCGTTTGTGGCCCTTACCCTTGGAATGTTAACCCTTTAAAATAGCCCAGTCCAAAAGGAGTTTCCGATACTGTGGCAGTGCTGTCTGCACTGCGCAGTGTGGAAGCCACTGGTCACATGTGCCTAGTGAGCACTTGAAATGCAGCTAGTGTGACTATGGAGGTGAATTTTTAGTCTTTATTTAATTTTACTTAATTTTAATTTAAATAGCCACCTGTGGCAGGCGGTAACATTGAACAGTGCTTAGGGTGGGAGGGAGGAAAAGAGTGTGTAGATATTTTCAGACTTTATGTGCATGGGTTCGAGAACAAGAATTCCAGGACAGGCATCATGGCTGAGCAGCAAGAAAATGGCCTGAGAGCAGGAGACATGGGTTCATTCATAATTTCAGATGGTCACTTATTCATTCAGTAAACGTAAAGGTTGCTGTTGTGTGCAGGGTGCTGTGCCAGGTGCTGAGGATGCACAGGATGTCTTCCCACCTTAGAGGGGCTGGGAAAGAGTGAGCAATGACAGCAATGTTTCAGACACATTCAGGAAACCTCCAACCAGGGGACTTAAGATCTCAATTCAAAGAATGAGGGGAAGTTTGCAAGGCCAAAGGGCTGGACGTTGGCAGGCAGGGAATGAGGGTCTTCTGGGGGCCTGCGGGGACTCCTGTGACTTGGTCGGATCGGCATGCTGGGTGCAGGAGAGGCATCTGAGGCCTATGGGTGGGGGGACTGAGTGTCCAGAGGCCATGGGCAGTGGCCTGAGAGCCTAGGACTTCAGCCTCACAGGCGACTGGTTTTCCTGCCGTGTTTAAGGTGCGTTAGAGGTTCTGCACCCTCTTGGTTGGAATTTCATGAACGCTGCAGCTAATGTGAGACCACAGCTGGCAGCCCTGACCCCTGATTTCAAGCTTTGGTGTTTGTCATGACAGCCTCACTCTTGTCACCGACTCTATTTTAAGTAATTGCTTAAAAATTGAATATGTAAATAAGTTTATACTAATAAAATACTGCTTCTATACATTCTTTTCCTTTGGGGTTTTGTATACGATTGAATTTTGAACAAAGAGCTGTAGACAGCTATAGGCTGGGGATGTTAGACCTCATTTGGGCTGAATGTTCAGCTTCTGGGCCTCAGTTGCCTCACCTACGAACTGGAGATGACACATCAGCACGTACAGGCAGGGGCTGGGCCTGGACATCTCCGGGACATCCTTGCAGCAATGTATGACCTTTAGACGTTCCCTCAGATGGCTGCTGTCAGGAAGTGATCCTTAGTTTCATTTTAGCCCTTGGGGGTCTGTCCTAGACATGTGACAAAGGCAAGTCTTAAAGCCTGATACTCAGGAGGGGACCTGCCTGTAATCCAAGTGACAAGTGGTGTCTAATCTATCTGTGTTGCTGCCTTTGCTTTCCAGGTGGAAGAAGTCTTTCCTGTGCAGCCTGGTGTTTGGTATTCCTGTTATGGGTTTAATGATCTATATGCTAATACCCAGCAACGAGCCCCATGAATCTATGGTCCTGGAGCACAACATCATTCCAGGACTGTCCGTTCTAAATCTCATCTTCTTTATCTTGTGTACCTTTGTCCAGGTGCGTGTTAGAAAGATGGGCAGCCCTCTGCCTACATGCCTGTGTGTGACCAATGGATATTCTGCCTCTTAGGCCAAACATAGTCCTTTAGCTTGGTTTAAGTGGCACTTTATTGCAGTTTTCCTGCCCTACCCAGACAGTTTCTGCTTTTTTTTTCTGTCTTATGCCCAGCTGGGAGGGTAGAGGTGTCCTCCAGTGTAGGGGACTAAGAAGGTCTTGGTTTCACTGTCAGTTTCATGGTTGATTGCAGGTAATCAAAATTCTCCCTGGAATAGCAGCCTTTTCCCTGCAAGAACTGGTGAACCTGTGTGTCTCCAATTGGCATATGATTTAGGTTAATGTACCATTGTTGTTAGAAGCAGCAGCTGGATCACCCTGGAACTCATGCTTCTATTTTGAAAGATGGAGATGTGGTCCTTGCCTTTGAGGAAATTATAATTTAAAAGAGACAGACCTCATGGAATGTCTTCTCCGGTGGTGATATTAAGGAACTAGTTGTGTGCCTGGTGGGAAGTGTGCCCTCTACGTATATGTTTTGGATTATAAAACTAAACTCAGTACTGTCATGTTTAGGAATATTTGGGGGCAAGCATTTATAGGCTGAATTTGTTTTTATATATATTTTTTAAATTACACATATAATGTACACTTCCTATAAATAATTAAAGCCTTATTGACGTGTGAAAAGGGGAAGATATTTTTTCACTAAATGCATCCTGCCCCAAGCCCAGCCCCATTCCACCATGTTGCCATAGTATTATTAATAGCTGAGCATGCATCTTTTCAGGTATTTATCTGTACAGAGAAAATGTACACTTTTGTGTATGTCTGTGTATTGTATATGTATATGTTGACATAATACAGACAGACCTTTTAAACTGAAATGGTATACAAGATATACTGATGTGTAACTGGTTTTTTTACTTAACCATGTATTATGAACATCTTTTATGCCAGTGGTTTATAGATAGAGCACATTCTCTTTAGGGACTGCATAGCACTGTCCACAGTATAAATGAATCATGATTTCTTCCACCGTTTTACAATTCTTCTGTTAATGGACATTTGCACTGTATGCTCTGGGCTCAAAGGTCTCTCATGTTCTTGGTCATCCATTCCTGTGGCCAGTAGTCCTCTGAATCAGAAAGTGTGTTTCATAACCATCCATCACAGAGGGAAAAGTGACGTCAGCACTGTGCACACAGCTAGCGCTTTCCTTGTCTTGCAGCTCCTCGGTGGGTGGTACTTCTACGTGCAGGCCTACAAATCTTTGAGACACGGGTCAGCCAACATGGACGTGCTCATCGTCCTGGCCACAAGCATTGCCTATGGCTACTCTCTGATCATCCTGGTGGTCGCAGTGGCCGAGAAGGCTGAGAGGAGTCCTGTGACGTTCTTCGACACCCCCCCTATGCTCTTCGTGTTCATCTCCCTGGGGCGGTGGCTGGAGCACGTGGCAAAGGTACCAGCAGCTGCAGGGTCAGGAAGGAGCTGCTCCTTCAGTAACACAAACCCCAGTTCCTCTGAACACCGTGTTTAGAATTACTAATTATATACAATATAGAGACAGACTTAAAGAAATAGGAAACCTCCATATAATTAGGTGCTCTGGTCACTAATCTCCAAATTGGCTGCCACTTCTGAAATCCCAGCTAATCTGGTTAATTAATATATTAAAAGCTTTGTTCAGGTGTATTGTGTAAATCAAAGAACCCTGGCCTTCAGGTCAGAGCCCACGTTGTCTCTTCGTGCATAGCTGAGTACATAGTTGTTAGTCTAGAAATCCATATCTACACCTCAGGGGCATGTCATTTTTAACACCCTCCATTGACCCCAGCATTGAAATGTATCCTATAAGAGAGTGCCACTCAGGCCCTAAAAGAAATTAGATCGAACCTAAAAGAAAGTGGTCACTAGGCAGACTGGTAGTTGTCTCCAGTATGAAATATAATTCCTAGAATTCGGTTTCACAGACGGTGACAGTGTGTGGCAATGACATACACGGCCGCAGTGGGTAACGCCCACCCTGCAGAGCCTTCTGCTGTGCAGTGTGGCTGTGGCACGGAGCGGCCTCCTCTACAGCTGTTCCTCTCGCTCCTCTAACACCAGGCTCTGGGTCTGGGCAGGTCAGCTGATGGGAGCTCTCACTTTACATTCTGGTTATTTCCTAGAGCAAAACCTCAGAAGCCCTTGCCAAACTCATGTCTCTCCAAGCCACAGAAGCCACCGTTGTGACCCTTGGCGAGGACAACTTAATCATCAGGTGGGTTGTCCTCATCAGAAGTCCTTGATCCGTTTACATCAACCTGTGTGGTCGCATCCAACACCCATCACACAGCAACGTTGCACTAGACCTTGTGAGGGCGAGCAGAGAGACACTCCCATAGGAGCCCACCTCTCAATCTAGTTATAAAACAGGGTGTTTAAATATGGAAAAGCAAGCAAGAGTTGGAGGTGGTGTATGTATGCTAAATGGCAAATAAGAGGTGTAGATGACCAGTATGCCAGGAGTTTGGAAGAGGAAGGCTAATGCTGGTCAAGGAAAACCTCACAGAGAATATGGGTGAACTGGGCCTCCTTGCAAGATTTGGATTCAGACAGGCAGAGAGATAAGGGCTTCAACTTGCCAAAAAATAAAAATGGGAGGAGGGGCATTTATCTTCCTCATAAGGTTGCCTGATATTAGAAATAATAATCATTATCTTTATTGCTGGAAACTCACATTGCATTTACTGTTTGCCAGACACTATTCTAACCTCTTTGTATTTCATCTAACCAAAGGGGGAATAAAAACTTTTATGGACGGGACTATTACTACCTTTATTTTGCAGATGAGGAGACTGAGGTTCAAACAAGCTAATCAATCGGCCCAAGGTCACAGAGGTATTAAGTAGTGGAATTGGGATATTTGAGGTTGGTGATCCAGAGTCCATGTTTTTAATCCTTACACACACTGACTCTTAAAGCATATTTAATAACATGGAAATTTTTAGAAATGAAAGCTTCCGTATTTCCGTGGTTAGCCTCTTTTTTATATTCGGAGCAATAGTTATTTCAGGCCTCCTTCACATTCTTAAATCTCTCTCTGGCCCCACCACTTTGCCCTTTAGCCTGTGGTCTCACTTCTGACTCTGACAGTAGAAGCATTGAAGTGGAAACGTACCCATCCCCTGCCCCCTGTCTCTCCACCTACGCAGCTGGCCTCCCCATACCTCCCCCTCCTGCCCGGTGGAAGGAGGGGTGGCTCAGTCTTGGGTGATGAGAGCATTTATAGGTGCAGTCAATCTGGCACATGATAATTTCTTGCTGCTGCTGTTTAGTCTCCTTCATGGACTTTCTTTGCTCCCCGTATGCCTTAATTATGGATACTCCTTAGGGTTTGGTGGTGACCCCTTTGTATGTTACAGACTTGCTCGGACATCTTCTCTCCCCCACGTCTTCAGTTAACAGCCTTGGGGAGCTCATTCTCAAACCTGCCTCCAGATCTGGTGGGAACCCTTCTCTTGGGTGGCTCGCAAAGGCTCGGAGCTCCCCTCCCCTGCCTTCCAGTTTCTCCCACTTCCCTGGTGCCTGTCCATCTCAGGGGCTGCCACCCCCACACCAGCTCCCTGGGCAGAACCTGCGCATCCTCTACAGCCCCTGCCCTCCCTTCCCCCACACATCTGGGCTCCCTTCTCATGGCTCTAGCTCCTTGATCCCTGGGGCTGCCATCTGCTGCCCCCACGGCCCCCACACTCGTCCAGGCCCCTGCAAACTGCCCCTGAAGCACCAGAATGGTCTTTTCATTGCCGCCCGCTTGCAGCCTGTCTCCTTCAAAGCATTTCCATGTTCAAATGAGTGATCTTTTGGAAAGCATAAATCTGATCACATTACTCTGTAGTGGAAAACCCTTCAACAACTCCCTGTTGTCCTCAGTCAGGATGAAGTCTGTGTTCATTAACATGGCAGTGGGGTGAGGCTCCCCCAGTCATGCCGTCCTCCTCACCTGCAGTTCCCAGGAAGGGGCTCCCACCCCTGAAGGCTGGAACCCTTTGCCCAGCTCTTTGTCCTCAGGTCCCATTTTGGATGTCACATCCTCTGGAAGTTTCTTCTGACTCTCCAGGTCTGGCTGAGACCTAGCAATCTGTGACACACACATGTGGTAGGCGCTGACACTCCTGAGCTGGATGAGTGAGACTGCTGTCAGATGTTACACTGGCTGCGCGCGCGCGCGCGCACACACACACACACGCACGCGCTTAATATTAAAGGGCTAGCACAACCCGGTCCCCAGGCCCCCACGTTGAAATTTTCTGTTTCTTATAATTAGAGGGGAAACTAAATTACAAGTTTTATCTAGACCAGTGACCGTTGTTTTTTTGTCTTCTTATGTTTGCTGAGGAAGGCCAGTAGAGAAGGGGAGGTAAGCGGACTGCTGGCAGGAGACTTAGACCTAAAGAAATACTGAGGAAAACCCACTGCTCAGCATTTGGGGGGAATATCAGCTCCTGAAGAAGAAATGCTGCTGGGAATTCGCCAGTAGGAGCCATGCTAACGCCCATAAAGGGCTGTTCCCTTTAAATTAAGCTGTTTAGAGTTAGAAAGATGTGGTTAATTTAGATCAAAGGAGAAGTTCAAAGTTAGATTAAGCAGAGATTAGCATTACTAAAGATTTCTTAGACACCGCTTGGACTGTGGTGCCAATTTTCTGTAAGTCTCCCCGCAGAAGCAGAGTCAGTTCTGCTGAGGAGAAGGGTCTGCCCTTTAGTCCTCAAGGTCTTTTTTCCCTGAAGTGAAGCGGCTGCTCCTGCTGCACACGTGGTGGCCTCAGGGACGAGAACTCCTCTAGGTCGAGTGGACGGGGCCTCAGCAGGGGTGTCGGAGCTGGACCTCTCCACCGCTGGAAGACTAAATATAAGCTCAGAATATTCGTGGGTGGTCGAGGTCCTTCCCTCTGGCTTGCTGACCCACCCTGGCCACCAAACTGATTTACACACACCTGCTACCTGTTACCTGAAGGCTCAGTCTTTGAGAGCCGGCTTTTCAGTATTGCATTTATTACGTTACTGCCGATACTGAATTTACTGTCTTAACTGCCCGTCTACATCTCTGCTTTTAGCTTATGAGGCTGAAAACCCCCTGAGAGGAAGGCTCCACTGTGTCCTCTTTGTAACCCCAGCCTAGCCTGCCACCTGGGTCACAGAGGGCAATCAGTAGTGAAAATGTCATTAATAAGAATCGCCAGCATTCTCTGGGCACTTACCGTATGTCCAGCACTGTGCTGAACACTTTACACGTGTCTCGTTTAATCCTGGGAGCAAAATCACCATTGTAGAAACAAGGAAACTGTGGCTTTGAACCAGGCCTGTTTAACTCCGAGGCACCTGCTCTGGACCCCAGATGACACTGTGGCCGAGGGACTCTCTCCAGCATCTTTAATGCTGACTCTGAGTCCCAGGAAGTCAGAGCTGGGTCTGATTTGCTCAGAGTTGTCCGGATATCTGGCGTACAGTGGTACACAGTGACGCGGGTTAAATCTTGAGGGCTTACTCTTATCAAGCAGCCCTCATTCCTCAGCACTCGGCACCTCTTAGAACTGAGGACCTGGTTGGAAGCAGGGTGTCTTTACACCCTTGGAGGGGAGGTGGTAGCATGGTTGGTAGAGTTTGGCCTTGGGAGACCAACAAGCCTCTCATCCTCACTGTGCAGAGAACTTTCCTGAACAATTTTTAAAAAGGAACATGTTGATGCAAATATTTAACATACCTATCTATATATGTTAGCTACTAAGTTGTGTGTATTTATGCCTAACAACATCTAAAGAAGTATGTTCACTTTTGTGCCTTTCTTTTTCTTTCTTTCTTTTTTTTATTTTGTGCTTTTCTAAGAAGTCTTAGATTTTTGCTCAAATAGGGGTAATATCAATTCCATCATATGTTTTTGGGAAGATTCAATGAAATAAAGCATGTGAAAGTCTAGCATGGTTCCTAGCACTCAGTGAATGTTCTTTCCCCAAATAAATAAGGTGGCCTTTTGTCCCCATGATAATTTAAATGTAGTCTTTGTAGAGTGAAGGGAACATATTGAATAGCTCCCAGGCCTGCTTTTCTGATTTTTTCACCATTTCCTCATGAGCCTGTGTTAAAAATACGATTACTTCTATCTGGGCCATGTAGTGCTTCCAGAGAGGTGCTGTCCAGCGGCCCTCGGTCCTCCGATGCCTCCCTGCCCTGCTCTCCCTCCAGCATCATCTCTCTCTCTGCGGGGCCCTTCCGGCCGGCGTGCAGTTCTCACATAACTGCAAGTCCCCACTTGACCCACCCCTCCCCTTCTGCTCTATTTCTGTTTCCTTTCACAACAAACCTTCATTAAAAACTTGACTTTAGCTACTATCTGTTTCCTTACTGTATGTTTTCTCTGCCCATTCCAGTTGGGCTTCTGCCTTGAGGAGTTTGTGAACTTGTTTTGGCCAAAGCCACCAAATAATCTCCATGTGCCCTAACCCAACCCTAGATTTTTTTTAACTCCTCATGTCAGCCTCATCAGCATCTCCCCACCTTTGCTGCTGCTTTGAAAATTTTTTTCTTTTTTTATTAATATATAGCTGACATGTACTGCGACACAGACTGTAAGTGTAGAGTGTGATGAATTTTTACGTGTACGTGCCCCATGGAGCCACTTGTGCAGCCCGTGGTGGAGTTGGATGGGTGCTCCCTTCCCCCGACTGTCTCATTTTCCTCTTGTGTCACTGACTAGTCTTCCGGCTTCTGCTCAGTCTCCAGATAGTGGAGTATCCCAGGGCTTAGTGCTGGGACCCTTTCTCTTTTCCCTTTACACTCTGGGGAAGCTCATACCATTCCATGGCTTTAAACACCATCTGTCTGTGACAATTTCCAGATTTGTACCTCTTGCTCTGACCTCTTCTCTCCACCACAGACTCATTTTCAGCCCCCAAGTTGACATTCCTACGTGGAAGTCAAATAGGCATCTTAAACCCGACGTGTCCAAATGAAGCTCTTCACACCATCCCTTCCCCTTCTTTCCCCCCACTTTCCTCCAGCTGCTTCTCCATGGTTAGACGTCTCCATCTCATTAAATGTTTACTTTTTTTTTTTTCCAGTTCACTGCAAGGTTTCTATTTTTTTTATTTTATATTTACTTTTTTTTTTTCCACATCTCATTAAATGATTTCTCTGTCCACCCAGTTGCTCAAAGTGAAAATTTGGGGCTCTTCTTTGATTCCTTTCTTGACCTTCTTATTTACTGCATTTTCACATGCAATGAATGCATGCCCTGGAGAGAGCTTGCGTGTTTCTTCTCCATCTCTAGTCCAAGTCACCGCTGTCCTTTGCTAGGGCCACTACAACAGCCTAGCTCTTCTCTTGGCTTTTGTCATTGCCCCCACAGCTCATGATCTCATACAGTGGCCAGAGTGATCACTTGAAAATGTGAATCAGATTGTGTCACTTTCCTGCTAAAAACCTCACATCCAAAGCCTATTCTCGGCTTTAAGAGACCGTCAAGATCTGGACTCCGCTTGCTTCTCTGACCTCACCTTGTACTTCACTTACTTCCTGCCAGCCCTGCCTCTTTCCCGCCTCTCAAGCACACCCTGCCTGCCTGCCTGCCTTGGGCCTTTTTGTTTTCTCTCCCTTGAACTTTCTTTCCCCACATGTTGGACCTTCTTGTCATTTAGGTCTCAGTTTAAATGTCATCTTCCGAGAGAAGCCCTCTGGTGACACTATCCTGGTTTAGTCCCATCCTAGCACTTATTTAATATCTGATACTGTCTTGCTTGTGTGTTTCCACTGCAGAATTTGTCTTCATGAGGGTCAGGACTTTGTTATGCTGTTCACAGTGGTGTTCCCAGTGCTCAAAACAGTGCCTGGCATTTAGTAGCTGCACAATAAATATTGATTCAATATTATAATATTGAATATAATTCAATCTATAAATGAACAGATAAAGTGAATACTGTTGTCCACTTTCTGTTGTCCAAGTGTAGTGTAACTGGTCCAACAGTTGGTCTAGAACCTGACCTGGGTGACCATGCAAGAGGGTGAGCTCCTGTGAGTGGCTGGGTGTGTGACTCGAGTGGCATTTGTTGCAGAGAGGAGCAAGTCCCCATGGAGCTGGTGCAGCGGGGTGACATCATCAAGGTTGTCCCTGGGGGAAAGTTCCCAGTGGATGGGAAAGTCCTGGAAGGCAATACCATGGCGGACGAGTCCCTCATCACAGGTTAGGTGGCTTGTTTCCCTTTGGTGGACATCACAGCAGTTGCCGGGTCACGGGCATGCTGGACGGGACTGAGTGAGTATTGGTCACCTCCTCTCTACCTCCAGGTGAAGCCATGCCAGTCACTAAGAAACCCGGGAGCACCGTGATCGCTGGGTCTATAAACGCGCATGGCTCTGTGCTCATTCGAGCTACCCACGTGGGCAACGACACCACTTTGGCTCAGATTGTGAAATTGGTGGAAGAGGCTCAGATGTCGAAGGTAATGAAGAAATTTGAAAAAAACAGTGTAATTTCAGTTTTCCTCATTTTAGAAATTATTTCAGGGGTTCCCCTAGAATCAGGCAATTTTATTGAGTAAAGATTGATTAGTAAATGAGGGAGGTAAGAATCCCAGTCTTAATCCATGTTTGTGGTGGTTCATTTCTTCGTAGGTTGTAATTTCCCGTGGTCTTGGTGTTTTATTTTCGTAGGCACCCATTCAGCAACTGGCTGACCGGTTTAGTGGATATTTTGTCCCATTTATCATCATCATTTCAACTTTGACGTTGGTGGTATGGATTGTAATCGGTTTTATCGATTTTGGTGTTGTTCAGAAGTACTTTCCTGTAAGTTGAATGCCTTGGGCTATATAGTTGTTGTGTTTTAAATAATCTACTGCCACTAATCCTATTCTTTCATGTCTTAGATTCAATGAGCTCTCATTATTCATTATGTTTTATTTGCTTGCTTCACTTATTGGCAGCAAAATCTAAGCCAGGCTGGGAGAGTCACTCCCCTTCTGCAGGTTCTTATTAAAGTTGCCCTTTGCTTTCTGCTTAGATAATTTTCACAGACACCACCTGGCTCTCCGTTGTAATGCCGGCATTTACAAGATGTATTATTGGCCATTTTTGAGGTTATGAGGCATACATCATATAAAGCAGTTCACTTCGAATTTTCATGGCAAGATAATTTAACAGATTTTTAAAAAATATGTTTTTTACTGTCTGTTTCCACCAGTACCATTTTTGACCTCCCAATTTTCCAAGTAATGCTAATAGCTTTTTAGTAATTAAATATTTATTAAACATTTTAAGTGAGACAATGGAATGTACATTTTTGAGTTTAAAAAAGTGGATAAAGAGCAGTATCATAGGAAATACGGTTTTTATCAAACTTCCAAAAAAAAAAAAAGTGGGGAATATAGTCCCTCCCTCAAAACTTACCTGCTTGAGAAATAGGAACTATATATGTCAATGATGCTCTATGATGAGCTATGACAATTTTGGTTTCTATGACTGAGGGAGAGGGATGCAGTTACACTTGCATCTAGTGGGTAGAAGCCAGGATGCTGCTAAACATCCTACAAGGTGCAGGACAGGCCCCTACAGCAAAGGATTATCTGACCCAAATGTCAGTAGTGTCAAGGTTGAAATCTTGACATATCTAAAAAGCTATATTAGAGCTTAGAGTGGTATTTAATAACTGCCCCATGAGGGAAACAGCGTTTTACCTTATCTCATACCTAGCCCAGTCTAGTGCTTATTTTACTTTAGAGCCATAGAGTAAGAAACTACTAATAGGGCTTAATTTTCTCCTTTTTAAAAAAATTCTGCCCGTATTTAAAGATATATCAAATGTTAGTGTGCATGTCATTTACTAAAATGTCATTTTCTCCCTAAAATTTCATATCTTAAATTGAAAAATGTCCAAGTGAAGCACTTTGTGCCATCTAAGGGAACCTCAGTGCTTTCCAGAGCAACCTATGAATGTGTTCCTAGAATTTGCCAGTGGCGATTCATGGCCTCTGACTGCCTAACTGTTCTGCTTTCTGGGGAGAGCAGCACATTTGGCATGTGGCTATGGGAAGACTCGGCCCTAAACGAGTTAGAATGTGTGGCTTTCTGCTGTTGCATGCCTCTCCGTCTTACTTTGGCTTCTTTTGTTTTTATCTGCAAAATCAGGGAGGATGCTGGCAAATGAGGTACTGCATGTTCCTTTAAGATACTGTCATCACTCTGCTGCACAAAAATCATTTGTAGGGAAGGGTTCCTGTTAACTTCTAGAAGTCTACCCAGTCCGATCACAATGCCAGGCGTTATTTTGATAAGAATTGCTGTTTGTTTGTTGTTTTTTTTTAATCACATCATCTTTATTTCTACAAATTTTATCTTAAACAGGGGGCCCACTACCTAAATACAACTCTGTTTCTGTGAAATTAAATAACCCTTTAATAAAATACTTTATTTTGGAACCCTGCCTTTCAAAATCAAAGAATAGAGTGTAGGGGGAAACTAAAGAGATTGTGGTCTATATTCTTGATTTAGAAAACATTTTTTTTTACTGTAATTAAAATTATAAAAAATTACAAAATTAAAATTAATCTCTTTATTATACCCCATAGCCACTAGCCATTTTAAAAAACAAACGAAGACAATTCAAACTCTCTGAATTCAACTGATAATACCACTATGTGCCACCAGCTATCTGGAAAAGTAGACCCATATTTTGTTTGTTTGGGTTTACAGAGAAAATAATAGTGAAAAATATAGAGAAGACAGTAAAGATGACTGAGAATCACATTCCCAGCAGTAATTGTGTTTACACTTTGGTGGACATCTTTCTAGTACTGCTGAAAGGCTGTATGCAGATGTAGATAGAGAATTTCGCATGAATAAAATCACAGCACATGCCTTTTTGTACTTGCTTTCTAATTTTGCAATTTTACTGGTATCTCTCCATATTAGTAAATATACATATGGGTTATCATTCCAACATTTGCATAATATTCCATTATGCACACCATACTCAGTTTAATTAACTGATCTCCTATTGGTTGTTTTTATTTTGCCATTACAAAAACAAAACACTGTGATAAATATCTTTGTATCTTTTTTCCCTTGTATGATTATCACCTTAGGAGAAATTCCTTGGAGGCCCATCATTTTTAAAGCTTTTGTAATTATGATAAAAATGATAACATAACAGTTACAATTTTTTAGATGCCTTTCCTATGCCATGTGTTGCACTGTGTATGTTTGTATGTTTATTTGTGTTTGTATGTGTATTGCCTCATTTAATCCTTACAACGACCTGTGAGCTGGGTATTAGCTCCAATTTGTATATGGGGAAACTGAGGCACAGAGAGGTGAAGCGAGTGTTAGAGCCAGGATGTGGGTTTACTTGGTCTGATGCCAAGAGTCTGTGCTCTTTCCCCTGTCCAGGAGTTTTATGTGAGACTCTGCCCCCGTAGTGCCTCTTTGAGGAGAGCCTGTGGGATCGAGTTGGAAACTGGGATGTGCGACAGCAAAGTGAACTCTGCTACTGAAGCAGCGCAGAATGTGATCGTGTTTCCCTAAACCCAAGCTCACCCCCCTGTCCCAGGCCCCACCAGCCCGCTGAAATGTTCCTATGTGTTGAGAATTCTGGAAGGTTCCTCACTGAACTCTCCACCCGCCTCTGCCTCTCTCCTCTCCTCAGAACCCCTACAAGAACATCTCCCAGACGGAGGTGGTCATCCGGTTTGCCTTCCAGACGTCCATCACGGTGCTGTGCATCGCCTGCCCCTGCTCCCTGGGGCTGGCCACGCCCACGGCGGTCATGGTGGGCACCGGCGTGGCCGCGCAGAACGGCATCCTCATCAAGGGCGGCAAGCCCCTGGAGATGGCGCACAAGGTCAGCCCTGCACCGCAGCTCTCCCGCCCTCCTGGCCGGAGGATGATTTTAAGAGAGTCTTAATGGAAATAATATCTGTTTACTATTCCAGATTGAAAGAAACACCTTAGAGCCCACCTGAGGGTAATAGTGTTGATTAAGTAGAGTAGGAAGCCAAGTCTAACTGGGAATAACAGCAGCAACTGCAGCAGCTAACAGGCACATAATAAAATGCTCTGTGAATCTTAATTGATTGAACTGCACTGACAACTCTTTGCAGTAGGCGCTTGTTATTCCCATTTTGCAGATGAGGAAACAGTAGCGGGAGGAGGTTAGGTAACTTGCCCAAAGGCCTGCAGCCAATGCAGAGCCAGGCTCCAGGAGAAAAGTATCGTGGGATCAGTGGCAGGTCCTGTGACCTTGGGATTGAAGAGTGAGCGACAGTGTTTAGGGAGAATCTTCCTTTTGCCCCACATACCAGCCTTGCCTTCCACACTTCCATTTATTTATTCGGTGTGTGTTGAGCACTTGTGTGTGGGCCTGAGATATGTTCTGGCAATGGTGGTGGTTCCCAGCTACCAGGGAGCTTAAATTTTAGTTGAAAGTCAGATATCTTATTGCGAGACAGTGAGATGTCATGGGGACACTTTAACAGGGGCCTGACCTAGACTCTGTGTGTTGGATTCGGGGTGAGGGTTGGTGCAGGTGGTCGGGGAAGGGAATTCAAAGGTTAGTCTGAGACCTAATAGTTGAGTGAGAGTTAGGCACTCGACACAGGTGGGAAGAACGTTCTGGCAGTGGGGACAGCAGGTGGAGAGGGCGTGAGGAGGCTGTGCTGCCAGGGCATGGGCTCCACAAATCAGGGACTGAACTTTTCCTCGTCATTGTTTCCCTGGCGTCTAGCCTAGCACCTGCTCATCCAAAGCCTTTGGAAATCACTAGCTCATTCAAAGCCTTCGAAAGTTAGTAGCAGAGTTGCCCTATCCTTTCTTGGAGTGTGAAGACTTTATTTCCAGTAGCTTTTGCACTTAGGCAGGAGAGAGAGAGAGAAACTGGAGATGAAGGTGTTAAGGGAGGGCTGGAACACGAAGGCTTGGAGGTTTAGTGAAGGGTTTTGAACTTCCCTAAGAACGACAGGAGCCGTGGAAGGCTGTGACACACCTGGGTGATGTGACTAACTTTGTGTCGGGCAGATCATTCTGGCTGCAAAGTGAAGGAGGCCAGAATCATTGGAGGAAGATCAGTGAGTGGTGTTGAAGGAAGAGGCCACCACTCAGGGTCAGAAACAAAAAGCTGAATCCATTGTTTGCTAAGGAGGGAGAGCCTGGGAGATGGTCTGAATGGAGCAGACAGGGCTCAAGAAAACGTGCAATTCAGGGCTGGTGGATTTGCAGAAGCAAGGGCTCGGCTGGCCCTGGAAGGGCAGAGACTGAGTGTGGCTGCTGCCGTCGGACACCTGGGGACTGGTGCAAACTGCCATTGACCAAGTGGGACGGAGTTAAAGCTGGCCTGGGGGTTACTTGTTAGTGTGGCTGCAGGGTTGTCCTTTCCTTTCTTGGAGTGTGAAGACTTTATTTCCAGTAGATTTTGCACTTAGGCAGGCAGGAGAAAGCAGTGGCCGGGCTCGGTGGATAGCAGTTGACAGGAAGGCTGGAGGACACCCAGGATCCTGAGTCCTGTCCTGACGGGAGGAAGTAAGTCTGCAGTGGTGTCACTGTCCAGGAGATAGTGCCAGGTTAAGCCACAGTGTGGGTGTTTTTGACTGGGTGGACAGGGAAATAGTTTTTTTAGAGCAGCAGTTGTTGAACCCCTGCTGTAGATTGATTGCAAGGGGGTTATGTTAGGAAATTCTGAAGGAGTGTTGTTATCTTCCTGAGGCAGGTTGGTTGAAGTTCTGCCTCAACGTCATGTGGACTGGGAAAGCCCCTTACATACAAAGCCCCGTGTATTGTGGTCACGGTCACACGGTTGTTTTTGGCAGATAAAGACTGTGATGTTTGACAAAACCGGCACCATCACCCACGGGATCCCCAGAGTCATGCGGTTCCTCCTGCTGGTGGACACGGCCACACTGCCCCTCAGGAAGGTTCTGGCTGTGGTGGGGACTGCGGAGGCCAGCAGCGAACACCCCTTGGGTGTGGCAGTCACCAAATACTGTAAGGAGGTACGTGGACCTGGGTGTGGTCCCGTCCCTCACTTCCAGGCGTCACCATGCGCCTTCTCTCCTGGCTGCCTCCGTGACGCTTTCCGCTGTGTGGTCTAGAAAACCACTTAGCAGGCTCCTCTGGAGTGGGCTCCTCGGCGGCCCTTGTCACAGTTCCAGGTTATCACAAAGGAAGTTCAGTGTCACCGTCATTTGCTGAGCATCAGCTTGGCACTGCAGTTGATGAAGATAGGCAGTCTAGAAACTCAGCCCTTTGTCAGCGCTAAGTGCTGACAAACACAAAGGTGACATGGGAGTATTGGGGTGAGGGAGGGAGAAGTGCTCTGCACCAGGGACATGAGAAGAGCCCACAGGGCTAAGCCAGAATGCCCAGGGGGGTTTGGGCACGGGTGTGGGGAAGCATGCACCCCTTTGGTCTTTCCATGTGAAATGTCCTTTCTGTTTTCTCCATCTTCAATCTGAATATAGAGGCAGCAGAACCTGCTGGGATATTGCCCTGACAGTTTTTAAATGATTTGAGCAATACTGTTATTATTAATAGTAAACATAGAAAGATAAGATGGATGCCTTGAAAAAAAGTTGACACCTCTTCCTGGGCGGGGGATCTTCCAGATACCTCATTTCTGGTTTTGTCCTTCATGGAGGGCCAGACAGACCAAGGGCTCAAGTGGGTTTTGCTCACTTCCCTCCCTGCCCCATCATGCCCTCCTCCAGGGTCTGCTACGTGGGCACCTCTCTCTTGAGCCTCAGGTAGCTTTGTCACCACTTGCGTGTCTCATCGTTTTACTAAAGTTGTTTGCAACATAAAAATGATGTCTTCCTCTCTTTGGCACCTGCACCCCTCTTTAATTGAGGTGTTTGGTGTGAATTGCCTTTCTCCTTTCTAGTCTGCAGCCCAATCACTAGGTGAGGCATCACCCAGGCAGAGATTTGAGGCTGATGAGTCATACTCAATTCACTGGCTATAATATAGGTGTCAGATGCGAGAAAATGAATTGCTGAGTTCCCGGTCGCTGTCTTAACCTTCCCCATCAGTTCCACTTCCCTCTCTTGCCTCATACTGCTCCTACTGCCTTTACCCTGTGTCCCTGTCCTCCCTCCCACTTCACCCTTCTCAATTTTCTGGTCCCAGCTCCCTCTCCCCTGCTCTCCCTGCCTTCGCAGGAACTCGGGACAGAGACCCTGGGATACTGCACGGACTTCCAGGCGGTGCCAGGCTGTGGCATCGGGTGCAAAGTCAGCAGCGTGGAAGGCATCCTGGCCCACAGTGAGCGCCCGCCGGGTGAGCGGGTTGGTGGCAGTCTTCCTGCAGAAAAAGGTATCCGTGGCCTTTGTCTCTGCGCTAGATCTGGGCCCGGCTGGGTTAAAGTGGAGCGTGCCGAACCACAGAGAGCACCCAGCTGGGCCTGCCTGCCTTGATTTGCCCTGCTGGGGATGAAGGTGGCTCGTGGCTGGGGCACCTGCACCTGCCTCCCCCAGGGAAGCCTGCAGTTCCTCCCTTGTATTCTTTGATGCTTATGGCATGCAGGAGTAGACATGACTTAGATTCACGGGGTACTGCTTAGCTGACCCATTGTTTTGCTTCTCTATTTCTTATTGCAAATCGAGTGTTTCTCATACCCTACAGAGTAGACAGATGGGACTTCTACTTTTGTTCTTCTTGTTTGCCTCCCATGTGGTTGAACCATGATAGGATGCGTAGTATTTACAGAGCTGGCAGAAGGATTCAGGGAAAACAGATGGAAATGTCCCATCCAAGCCAGGAAGGGACGCTGCTTAGAGTGACGCCTCCTTTGAAGAATGGCCTTTCTTATTCTAAGGGCAGCTTGCCAGCCATCAGTGTGGTGGCAGTGGGGAGGGGGGAGATACCCCCAAACCCCTGTCTAATGTTTTTTCTAAGTATGTTGATTGTGAAATCTTGATTTAGATTTTGGTGTTAGATGCCATCCACCACCTTCTAGCAGTTTAGAGCCCCAGGGTGACCTTTCCACTTTCAGGGGCTGGTCGTGCAGTGACGTCTCAGTCAGCAGCACAGTTAGAAGGTGACAGGTGAGAGAAGCACCTGCCTTTCAGGAGGCATAGGGTAAAACATTTCATAGAAATAGACTTTTCTGATTATTTGTTGATAACCTGGGGTCGTTGATACCAAGCAGTAATGAATCTAGTCAAAACTTGCTTTGGGTGGGAGACTAGTAAGTAAGTGCTTGTAATCCCTATAGAGAAAGAGTCAGTGGATACCTCTAAAGGTGGGTAAGGACATTGTATGACAATGTCCTAATATGCTTATAACATTTTCGCACATATAGCATGTACTATTTTTTTTTTATTTCGGCATATTATGAGGGTACAGATTTTAAGGTTTCAATAAATGCCCTTTCCCCCCTCCCCCCACAAGTCTGAGTTTCCAGCATGACCATCCTCCAGATGGTGCACCTCTCACTTATTATGTATGTATATACCCGTAGCATGTACTATTAACACCCCATTTTAATTCATACCCACCTGTTTTGCACATGAATTGTATTTTTTTCTCCTGGTCTTAAAGGATGGTGTTACAAGAGGTGTTTATTACCAGGTTATAGTTTTTCAGAATGGTTAAATGGATATTTTGCTCTGAAAAGGATTGCATGATTTTTAGTTCATAGTGAAATTGGACTATTTAGGAATAACCACAGTCTCTTTTGAATAGATGCAGCCCCCCAGACCTTCTCTGTGCTGATTGGAAACCGCGAATGGCTGAGGCGCAATGGCTTAACCCTTTCCAGTGACATCAGTGACGCGATGACAGACCATGAGATGAAAGGGCAGACGGCCATCCTGGTGGCCATCGATGGTACCTGTTGCTCAGACCTTCCTTCCAGTCTCTTAAAATGCAGTTTTCTGTGGATGTCAGGCAAAAAGAGCCCTCTTTTTTTTTTTTTTTTTTAATGTTTCTTTTTGTTGGTTTGTTTTCTGTTTTTTTTCCTGTTGTTTTTCTTTCTTTCTTTTTCTTCCTTTCCCTCGCGCTTTCTTTCTTTCTGTCTGTCTGTCTCTGTCTGACTCCAGAGCCAGCTCTGTTCTGACATTGGTCGTCTTGTCATTGTTATCCTAAACTGTCTTTGCCATCATTGCTCCTGTCCTAGTGGGTCACTCAAAGTCATCCTTCTCGTTCATCCCTGCAGACAAAGCAGGAATTCACTTCCCATAGCTTTAACTACAGGATGCCTTTAAATAGCGTGGTCCCTGCAGCAGTTCCCTGTCTGCGATACTCAGACCAGGTGTGCGCAGAGCCTCTGAAGACTGCAGGTGGCTTAGTACTCAGATTCTATCTATCTGCCTCTTAAAGAGAGTAGAATATGTACTTTGTTAATATTAGTTTTGCTAACAGAAATAAAACTATATGCAAATAAGAAACAGTTTATGTGCTGTATTGCAAATGCTCCAACTAAATACATCTTCCTCTCCCATTCTCTCTTTTTCCCTTTTTCTAAGTGCTTGTAAACCCACAGCCCACTCGGATTGTCAAACCAGAATTGGCACGACTAAAGGAGTCATGCCCTTTCATACATCCCTCCCTCTGTTCCCGTTCACCCCTTAGCCCTAGAAACCTGGTTCTGTGTCTAAAGATGCACTAAAAGAAAAATTCTGCAGAAATGTTTTCTGTAGGAAAGACAAAAAGAAAGGATTGATTTTTTTTTTCCAGTTTGGATGTTCATTACTTTAACATTTGTTATATTTCTCAAATTTTAATAGCTAACATGTATTGAGTTCTTACTGTGAGCCAGGTACTTTGCAAAATAATACATGTTCCTTGCAGAAAATTTGGAAAATTCAGAGAGCCACAAAAAAGAAATGAAAGCACCTATGACTCTGCCCCTCAGGGAGCCTTATTGAACATTTTTATATCTCTTCCAAACTTTTGTGTGCATCTTAAATGTGTACAATCAAAAAAAAAACACCAAAAAACCATATGATGTCACATAATCTGGTGCGTTGGTTTTTTGCGTGTAGCATTTCACGATGAGAACCGTTGCGTGTCATGACGTTACGTTGGCTTGGCGTGCCCCGTGCCCCGAGCGCTGATGCAGGCCGCTTTGCTGCAGGGGTGCTCTGTGGGATGATCGCCATCGCCGACGCTGTGAAGCCGGAGGCCGCCCTGGCCGTGCACACGCTGCAGAGCATGGGCATCGACGTGGTTCTGATCACAGGGGACAACCGGAAGACAGCCAGAGCCATTGCCACTCAGGTACGGCCCTTCACAGGCATCTACCCGAAAGATCAAAAGTCAAGTCACTTTACAAAAAAGACACCTGCACTCGAATGTTTACGGCAGCACAATTCACAATTGCAAAGCTGTAGAAATAACCCAAGTGCCCATCAATTCATGAGTGGATTAATAAAATGTGGCATATGTATACCATGGAGTACTGCTCAGCTATAAGAAACAACGGTGATATAGCACCTCTTGTATTTTCCTGGATAGAGCTGGAACCCATTCTATTAAGTGAAGTGTCCCAAGAATGGAAAAACAAGCACCACATGTACTCACCAGCAAATTGGTGTTTAACAGATCAACATCTAAGTGGACGTATATACAGGAGTAACATTTATCGGGTGTCGGGAGGGTGGGATGGGGGAGGAGGGGATAGGTATGTACAAACACAACAAGTAAGATGTACAACATTTGGGGGATGGACACGCTTGAAGGTCTTACTCAAGGGGGAGGGGGGACATGGGCAATATATGTAACCTTAACATTTATACCCCCATAATACTCTAAAAAAAAATTTGCTATGAGAAGATTAAAATAAATAAATAAATAAATAAAAATTAAAAAAAAAAAAGATTACAGTTAAGTTCACAGGAACGTCTAGAGACAAAAATAAGCACCAGGGCCCCCAGTGCTCAGCTTCACTCTGCTCTTCCCTGGTGCTATTTCCCCCGAGTGCTCCGTTCTGCTCCGAGCTAGGCAGCCCCTGACACTGCCGTGCTGCCGCCCGGAGATCGTGTCCCTGGACCGGGTGCACATGTCCCTGAAAAAAGCAATTCCAGTATCTATAACCATGTCCCAGTCTTTGCAATAGGAGAAAAATAGCTTATGGTCCGAGGGCTAAAAGACATCTTTAGGCTTTGCCAGCTTGGCTCTTATCCCTCGTGTGCCCAGATAACTCGGCCCTGGGCAGAGCTCCAGCGGCCCTGGGTGCTGAGTTTGGGCCAGGAGGACAGCACGGCAGGACGGCTGCCTGACTCCTCACACAGCAGCAGCTCCAGCGTGGATTCCTGAGAACTGTACAACCCCCTCTCCCACAAAGCTGTGCAGAGCTGTACGCTTTTGAACATTAAATTGCATCCTATGAGGGAAGCAGCGGTATTTCTGTTTTCCGTGGTCTTCCTTGCTAATGACAGACATGTTGAGTGTCCTCCCCCTTTTTGCTGGTTAAAACTTGTTCATCCACACAAAGCACCGTGGCTGTGACAGACAAGCACAGGGCCAGGCACTGTGAGGAGTGAAGAGGGGCTCGTGGTCCTGCGGTGCGGTGGACCAGAAATGGGGCAGAGCAGTGACGGGACAGAGACTTGAGAAGCAGGACAGGGACCAGGAAAGGAGAACTGAGCCTTTCTTCCCTGTAGCAGGCAGCACGAGCGTCACCCAGGGCCACAGAGTGACACAGCGATTTGGTGATTTGGAGAAGCCGCAGGGAGCTGCATGGTGCAGAGCCTAGTGTGGCCCTACCTGTGGGCCACCAGGCAGAGGCCAGACCTAGGGGCCTCAGAAGACAAATCCCCAAAAGTTTAGCTATTGTCCCCGGGGAGGTGGGTTGGATGCATTGGAGGACGTGAAGCAGGAGATTAACATGATTGTTGATTAACATGAGTAATGATTGTTGTTTTGGAAAGACATCCAGGACGGCACATGGAGAGGAGAGTTGAGGGGGCTGAGATGTGGACAGGGAGGCCAGCAAGGGGCTGTTTGCCCATCTGAGAAAGGACAGGGCTAAGCCAGTGCAGGACACTGGGGCGGCACCTGGGGAGACACGTGCCCTGTGACCTCAGACCTGCAGGACGTGGCTGGCTGACTGGTCCTGGAAGCCGAGGCCAGGGGGGAGAGGGTGACGTAGGGTTTCTTCCACTGCCCACTAGTGGTCTTTGGCCAACCCCAGATGTTGCTTTCCTTTCCTCTTAGGTTGGCATCAAAAAAGTCTTTGCAGAGGTGCTGCCTTCTCACAAGGTGGCCAAGGTCCAGGAGCTCCAGAACGCAGGGAAGAAGGTGGCCATGGTGGGAGACGGGGTTAACGACTCCCCGGCCTTGGCCCAGGCGGACATGGGCGTCGCCATCGGCACAGGCACCGACGTGGCCATCGAGGCGGCCGACGTCGTCCTCATCAGGGTGGGTGCGGCCGAGTCCAGGCTGCGGGAGTGGTGGGGTGGGGGGCAGACCCCCTCCTCACCGCATTTCTCCCCTCCAGAACGACCTGCTCGACGTGGTGGCTAGCATTCACCTTTCCAAGAGGACCGTCCGCAGAATCCGAGTCAATCTGGTCCTGGCGCTGATTTATAACCTGGTCGGGGTTCCCATCGCAGCAGGTAGGGGTGCCCTCACCTGCTCCGTTACTTTTGGCCCCAGCTGGGGCCGGAAAGGCTTCTCCCTGGCAGGTTCCTGCCAAGCCCAGTGAGGGCCCCGCCGCTGGCTGGCCAGAGGCCTCTTAGAAAGGCTGGTGTCCTTATATTCCCTGCTGCATTTACGTGTCTCTAAAGGTAAATGAGAAACTGCTGAGAGGACCCCAACCCTTCATTCACACTGATCCTTTCTACAAAGCTAGTCGAGAAGCTTGCTGTTTGTGTATGTGGCCCCATTTTCTGAACCATTTATTAAGACATAGAGCCTGAAAAATAATCATTATTAAGAGTTATGACCACATGTACTCACCAGCAAATTGGTATTAACGGGTCAACACCTAAGTGGACATACAGGAGTAACATCTATCGGGTGTCGGGAGGGTGGGAGGGGGAGGAGGGGATGGGTATATACAACCACAACGAGTAAGATGTGCAACATTTGGGGGATGGACACGCTTGAAGCTCTTACTCAAAGTGGGGAGGAGGGCATGGGCAATATATGTAACCTTAACACTTGTACCCCCATAATACGCTAAAATAAAAATAAATAAATATTAATCATATTTAAAAAAAAAAAGTTTGGGGCACCTGCCACATGTTAGGCATCACAATTGGTGTTTAAGAATCTTGTTTTAAAGATTAATCCTGCCCAGAGGCTGGGTGCGGTGAGGAGAAACACACCCTGTGAGCCTCATCAGAGGAGAGTGCCTGTGATTCTAGCACTTTGGGAGGCAGAGGCAGGAGGAGTGCTTGAGGTCAGGAGTTCGAGACCAGCCTGGGCAATAGTGAGACCCCCATCTCTACTAAAAATAGAAAAATTACCCGGGCATGGTGGTGCCGCCTGTAGTCCCAGATACTCGGGAGGCTGAGGTGAGAGGATCACTTGAGCCCAGGAGTCTGAGGTTGCTGTGAGCTGTGATTATTCCACTGCACTCTACTTGGGGCAACAGAGTGAGACTCTTAAAAAAAAAAAAAAAAATTCTGCCCAGGTTTCCTTCTAACTCTCACAAAGATCATGAAAAGAAATGAATTTTTTTTCTGCTTTGTAACTCCCCCTTGTGCACTCAAATCCTCTGGAATCTGATGGGGAGGAGTTCCAGGCCCTTCTGCAAGGTGGTGCTCCTCCATTGGCTGAGGAGACCTGTGGTTTTTAAGCTTTCCTCCCTTGGTTTCCCCTGTTGTGTCCGAGTGGTTAGCATGTCTGCCTTGGCCTCCTGAGCCTGGTGGGTCAGGCAGGTGTCCCTCCTGACCCCGGAGCCGGCTCAGGAGCTTTGTCCACTCTGGCATCTGGACATTTGCCACAGACGGTTGGCCAGACCTGGCCCGAGTCTCCTGGGGCTCACGTATCTTGTAAAGTTGTTGTGAAGCCCTGGAGGTGGACGATCTGTGTAGACGACGACTTTGGCTTCAGGCTCCTGTGCCTCCTGCTTCTTTCCCTCCTCCCCTGCACCTCTGCTCCCCAGAACGCTCCCTGAGATGGGGTGCCACCCGTGGGTGGTTCTGGGAAGGGCAGGGTAGATGGAAGAGAGCGGGGTCCCTGACAGTACCCCACGCCCAGCTTTCTAGGACAGCCTCCCCCAGGGGCCTGTGGGTGCAACGTGTGGGCAGGGGTGGCTGAGGGTGGGTCCCGGCACCCCCGCCCTCTTTCCTCCCCCACCGCCACCCCTGTGCCGGAGACCTGCTCCTTGCTCTTACCTCCGCCCTTGCTGTGAGTGCGTGTCCTTCCCCCGGCAGGTGTCTTCATGCCCATCGGCATCGTGCTGCAGCCCTGGATGGGCTCGGCGGCCATGGCGGCCTCCTCCGTGTCTGTGGTGCTCTCTTCCCTGCAGCTCAAGTGGTGAGTCCTGCGGGGTGGGCCACCTGTTAGAGTCTCCCAGGAGGCCCCGTCACCGTGTGCTCACGACAGGTTGGGGCTCACCAGTGCACTTCCCGGGGTAAGAATGGGCGTGAGTGCGCGCTCCCCACTCATTCACCTGAGGCAGACCCCACAGTGGCAGCCAGGTGTGTGCGTGGAGTGATTTATCGGGACCGAGAGCAGCTGGTTTACCACTCAACAGCCAATGCACTGGACTGTTGTCACTTCTCTGCTCGAGGGCTGTTGAAGTGAATATCATATGGACATGAGATCCCTGTGTACTCTCTTTTTCCATTTATTAATGCATTGATTTAACAAAAGTTACTGGCAGCCTACTACGTGTAAGGCATTTGCTTATTAGGAAGTTTCTAAATCAGGTGACGTTTACTTAAAGCATAGGCATTTGATGTCTTTTTTTCTTTAAAACACATGAGGTTTTGATACTGCATGTTATTCAAAGATGGATGAGAGGCCCTCACCAGGCTTCAAGGAAAAGAGCCTTGTGTCCAGAAAGGCTCAGGTGCTCTTGCATTCTTGTGTTCCAGCTATAAGAAGCCTGACTCGGAGAGGTACGAGGCTCGGGCCCACGGCCGCATGAAGCCCCTGACCGCGTCCCAGGTCAGCGTGTACATCGGCATGGATGGCCGGCGGCGAGACTCCCCCAGGCCCGTGCCGTGGGACCAGGTCAGCTACGTCAGCCAGGTGTCTCTGTCCTCCCTGACTCCTGACAGGCCAGCTCGCCATAGCACTGTAGTGGACGACGATGGGGACAAGTGGTCTCTTCTCCTGAATGACAGGGATGAGGAGCAGTACATCTAAAAGCCCTGGGCCCAGGGCAGGGCAGGGCCCATCTCTCTCCAGCGAAGCGGCCGGCCCGCCTCCTCCCAAACGGGGGCTGGCATCCACTGGCTGCTTGAGCCGAGCAGGCGCAGCCCCAGTAGCCAGCAGCAGGTGGGCAAAGCTTGCCCCGGCCTTGGGGACTTCTCCTTCCTGGATGTTTCTGGTCGTCCCACCCCGCGGTGCATGGCGTGGCCTGGAGAGGCCTGCCTGCCTGGGTCCTGCTGGCTCGGGGCGGAGCGCCGTGGCCTCACCATGCTGCCGGCGTGGACTTGGACTCTGGAGTAGCAGAGGCAGGTCAGTCCTCCTCACAGACTCAGACTCTTCGGGACGACTACTTACGTAATGAGGAACAGTCTCGGTGGGACCGAAAGCCTCGCTGGGCCTTTCCAGAGTAAAGACCTCCTGCAGAACTCGCTGCCAGGCTCTTTTTGACAACACCTATGTGCATCGCGTTTCTGAGACCACCGTTTACCTCAAGAGCGCCTGTTGTTTTCTGCTGGCACAATCTCTTCCTTTTCTCCCCTCTGTGCGCTTGGCGTCCTGGATGCTGGGGACCCCCCTCCCCATGCCTGCCACCTCTGAGGACAGGCCTGTTGTTCCTTGGCCCTGCGGACGCTCTCAGGTGTTTCTGCAGACGCTGTGGCGTGTGCGTGTCCGGCCCGAATCTGCTGCTCACTCGCACGCAGCCACACGCCCCGGCGGGACAGCTCGCCGCACCCCTCTTCAGGTTGAGGGAGCTCGTTCTCGCTTAGGAGCCGCTTCTCCGTGGGGTTGTGGCTCCTCTTCCCAGAGCAGGCTGCTGTTGCTGCCAGCCGAAGTGAGGGTCTCAGAGCCCGGCCCGGGAGTCCGAGCGTGGCTTCCTGTGGGGTCCAGGTGCTCACCACCAGGGCATCCGTCCGTGTCCCTGCCTAGCCTGTGGTGCTTGAAACAGGTGCCCTGTGGGAGGCATGCGTGTGCGGGAGCCGCCCTGCGTGGTCCCGGGAGCTTCATTTACGTGGCCTTCTGTCCCCTCATGGGGTCCAATAGAGAATTCAGTCGCCCCTGGCGACTCGGAGAAGCAGTGCTGCCTGCGTAAGAGGAAAGCACGGTGCCCCCCGTGAGCCTGCCTTCCACACGCCGCGTGGGCACCGTCGGGAAGGGGTGGCCACAGCACCCCAAAGGGAGAGTCTGCTTTTACCTGTCGGTGGTGGCTCTTTGTGATTGTGTGACACCAGAGGGGCAGGAATGGGCCCAGTTTTAGACTCTGAAGTCCGTGGCGATTGACAGAACCATAAGGGAGCAAAGTACGAGAATCAGATTAAATTCTAAAGTGAAGCCCTCATCTCACACACGAAATAATTTTAGTTATTTATTATTCAGTGTCCATTATTTGCCAGGGCCAGTGTTAGTAGCACTTTTTTTTAGGCTATCTCTAATCCTCCCACCAAACCAGAAAGGTAGCTGTTATTGTCTACATTTCACAGGCAAGGAAACAGGCTCAGAGAAGCTGAATCTTGCCTGGATGGCACAGCCAATATGTTAGCACTTGCCTTGTCTGTTGGCTCTGAAGGCTTTTCTCCAGTTCTGCTGCTGCTTTGAGTATCAGTTTCCTTGGTAAGAATAAACAAGGAAAAGGTCCTTGCCTCCTGGAAGAACAAGTCAGCCAGGTGACGTATTAGCTGTATCCCGTTTAGAATACAGGTGATTCCTGAGGTCATCTCACCCTCACCTTGGATGATTAGCTTCAATTTTTGCATTTAATGTAGTTTTTGCTGGGTTTTATCTTTTAAATCCAGCACAGGGTTTTGTCACATTTTCATTGTTTTTAGTCTCTGCCTTGGCCTCCCCCACCCACCCACCACCACTGTCTGTCCCAAGTGTTGTCCTCTCTTTATTGTTGCTCGGGGAATGTGTCTTGTTTTCTAACTAGGCTAATCGTCATCTAAAGACTCTAATTGTGTTGATTTTTAAAACCTTTAGGACCATAGACTCCATGTTCATATATGGACATGAAAATATTTACATAATTTTACAGAAAATAACCTTCTAAATGTTCGAGAATAAGGAATTTTTTTTGTCAGGTAATTATTCAAAAACTTTCCATGCAATACTAGAATAAAGTTTCTTGTATTCCTCTGCAAGTCTGCCTCGCTGGCTCTGCCTGTGAGAGGAGTATGGCCAGAGGCCCTGGGCGGCCGTGATGACCTCGAGACGCTGGCTCACCCCGACGCGTTTTAGGGGGCAGGGAAATACAGGGTCTCAACAGCAGGGGGCGTGAGGGTGTCCAGAGCCCTCTCGATCTGCCATCCCCAGCGCTGGCGTGTGCCCCTCTCTCGAATGCCGAGCGTGGCCGGCCTCGGTGGTGTGTGGGTAGAACTCAGAGGCAGCCCCTCAGAGTCCCCACTGCGCCAGGCACAGTGCACCCCGTCATGTGCGCGTCTCTGCTGCAGCGTGATTTTCTGCAAAAGGCTGTTGTCGGACACACACACCTTAATCAGAAGGGATCTGCTTTGAGTTCCTTGGCCCTGAAAGAGTGGGGCAGGGAAAGCAGCAGAAAAATCTGGACCAGGGGGCTCTGCTGTGAAAGCTCTGTGGGCATCTTAGGGTAGCGAGGGGGCCCTAAGTGGGGTACACCTAAAGGGAGGTGACCGTATAATTTGTCATCTGAACCAGGACACTTTTAAGAGTAGAAGGAGGCACCATGGAATAGTTGTGCCAGGACATCTGGCCTAAACTGGGACTATCTAGGCAAACTGGGACATGCAGTCACCTTCCTTCAAAGGGAAGTGGACACGGGGAAGTCACCATTGACACAAACTACCTACTTGAGAACTTTGCACAGTTGTAGGTTCCAGAGACATGCTGGTGACATAATCTCTTATCACGTTTCAAGGTTTCCCCCCATGTTCACGTCTTGATATGCACACTTCTCTGTTGAGTCATTGAGGTGATTATCTTGTGCTCATAATGACTGCACTGCTCAATGGCCAGGCCTAGGGCACCATGCGCTGCTGTGCCACAGTCCTGCTGGCACACCCCGGAGGACTAAATGCCACGTGCACGGGACTGATTTTCGGGATGCCCAGGTATGGAAATTTCATGTTGTATGCGTGTCCCGTTGTGAAAAGCAAGGGTTGATACCACCTTAGGAAGGAATCCCACTTCTTTTTAGAAGGTATCACGTGCTTTCTAAAACTGGAACAAATTTCCCTGATAGATTCACCAAGCACCAGAATAAGTCACGGCATTCCTGATAAAATTTTCAGTCTTTAAGACCTTAATGGAGAATTGTGATGGGATTACCTTTTCAATAAATGAATGTTATCATTCTAGCTTTCTTTTAACAAATGGCACCTAGGCCAGGCTCACACCTGTAATCCTAACACTCTGGGAGGCCGAGGCAGGAGTATCACTTGAGCTCGGGTTTGAAACCAACCTGAGCAAGAGTGAGGCCCCGTCTCTACTAAAAGTAGAAAAAATTATCTGGGTGTGGTGGCACACACCTATAGTCCCAGCTACTCAGCAGGCTGAGGCAGGAGGATTGCTTGAGCCCAGGAATAGTACACTAGGCTGACGCCACTGCACTCTAGCCTGGGCAACAGAGTGAGACTGTCTCAGAAAAAAAAAAAAAGGCATCTGGAAATTGACATGTGAAAAAATCTTCAAATTATTCTATTTTTCTAAGGAACCAAAATTAATAAAGGTGACTTTTATTAGAAAAAGATAATTTAAATTCCAGAACTTTTTTTTTTGCCTTAAAAAATTTTATTTCAGTAGATAAATTTCCTGATGTGTATGAAATCGAGTTAGAAAATTGTTGTTTACATACAACTTTTTCTTATTTATTTGAAAAAAAAAAAGCAAGAAACATCTATACAAAGAAATACCTCAAGCAACCTCTCGTGCTGACACTTGGTTCCCTGTTCAGACTCCGTCCGTGTGTGGGAAAGCTGACTTGGGATTGGACAGTATTGTGGAGCTGGTAGAAATGAAACCACTCTACTTTCTTCATTTTCAGACTCAGCTTGGGCAGGCATACAAACACCATTGTCTGGGTTTTCATTCCAGAGGGAGATGTCTACTCGTCTGCTGTTTTCCTTTGTGTGAAGACAATGACAACGGTTGAAATTACAGGATAGAATATGAGAATGTTAAGTAGTGCTGCGAAATCCCAGAATCTCCTTTCTTCTATTCAAAAAGATGAATAAACAGATGTAAAATCATCCAAGGGCCGAAATGAAAACAAGAATTGATGGAAATTTAGCATTTTGTTTCCTCCGAATTAAGAAATGGCGATTTTTTCTTCTTGATAGAAACACAATTGCTTATAGCAAAAATTTAAGCATAAATATAGAAAACAGGGGAGAAAGGCTCCCATAAAGCTTTCACCTCAGCCCCAAGGGGAAAGCCCATGAGCATGAATTATTTCGTGGAGGGATGTCCTTTGTGGGTGGACCACATCGGGACACTGAGGCAGCAAAGCCTTCCTGCCCCTTGGTGCCCAACTCCTGACGGACTTGCAGCCATCTGAGCACAGAGGTGCTGCAGTGGGCCCTGGGTGGACCTGTTGGGAGCTGATTCAGGTCCAGGTCAGATAGCTCCAGGCTGCTGGGTGCCAGGACAGGTTCTGTCACTCATCTGCTCTTTGCTTCACTGTCCCACTTCCACAGACGGGGACCCAAGCCTCAGGTTGTGGAGCTGGCTGTCCGGGAGGCAGTTGGGGTGTTCAAACCCACTTGGCTCTGGCTCCAAAGTCAGTGCCCCCTCTGGAAAGCTCCGTCCTCTTCCCAAAAGTGAATGCCTTTACCCCCCTTAGAGGCTGAGCTTCCTCACCAACCCCCCTCCCCGACCCCCACCCCAACCATGGCCTTACATGGGGCAAGAGGTGTCTTTTGGCAGGACACTGTGGTTTATCTCAAGAGCCACCAGGTGTCTCTCTGACCAAAACAACCTCCCGGTCTGCAGCCACAGCTAATGCTCTTTATCTGGAAATTCAGATAAGCATGATCATAATGAAAACACAGGAGAAGGGGAAGAGGGTGAGGCTGGGGTTCAGCCCTGGCACTGGGCACTTCTAAGCTACGATATATGTACTGCTGTACTTGCAGCCCAGGCGTTCAGGGCCTCCCTCCTCAAATTTGCATTTAGCCGTGCAGAGTCACGTTGGGGCCACTCGGCGATCATCATATTTCTCTTTATCATCATGTGCTGAGCTTCATGTTAAATGTTCTTGCATGTTTGGATAATTTTTTCTTTTTTGTTCTTGAACTTATCTAAGAGGAAAAGAAAAGGTTTTTAAAGGGCTCACAGCCGGGCGCGGTGGCTCAGGCCTGTAATCCTAGCACTCTGGGAGGCCGAGGAGAGCGGATAGCTCGAGGTCAGGAGTTCAAAACCAGCCCGTGCAAGAGCGAGACCCCGTCTCTACTAAAAA